ACTTCCGATCAACAGCATATACTCAAAATTTGATAGAAGAGGCGGAGAATTAAATCTTTTTCTAACATGTAAAATTTCATTTATTTATGTAAAATAGTAAGTTACAGGCTTTTTAAAAATTGAAAGTAGAATAAGTCCCGTTTCCGATGACCTTTAATCGCTGAAAAGTTGACACAGAACTATAAATTTGATATAATACTTATATATGGAATTTCATAAACCTAGCTGTAACGGTACTCAAGCTATCGTGTTCACAGACACACATACACACACAGACATACAGACATAATTGCAAAGCCTAGTTTTTCCGATTCGCATAAAACGCCTAAATTTGGATAAAACTAGATTTATTATTTTTGCCCCATTAATATAAGTCTTCTATTCTTAGTATATGATGAAGTACCAATATTCATTCGCACCATCTATATTGAGAAGATGAATCATAACAGATTCCATCGGTCTATTGCCTGGGCAGGTGGGTCAGGGAGTCTCAATTATGTTCTAGTCTTCCTTGCTAATGAGCATAGTTTGAGACGGTAATAATCGTATATCAGAAAACGATTAACTGGTAAGGCTAATAACAGGGGATACAACTATTTTTTAAAACAAAACTATTTGTAAAATTAAAATTACCTCCCATCGTTTCTGAACACTGCACTCTGAAATGTGTGTTCGATAATATTGTACTGCGGAATGTTAGTTACTATATTATCAAGTTAGGATCAATTCAACACTTTTTAGCCATCTATTACCCACAGAAGTGACAGATGTTTATACATACAAATAACACCTACACATACGAACATTTGTTAGCGTCATCAAAGTAAAAACTAAAACGGGTACTATATAAACATGAAGTGGAGATCAAAGCCTCGCCTACACATTGAATATTTAACCTTGTAAGAGACATAAAAGTAACCCGTACATCGGTTGGTGACTAATCTTTAAAGTAGTATTAATGTAACGCAAGTGATCCATTTTCTTACGAAGGTTTCTTTTATCAACTACCTTTTTGTAAAGGGCTAACTTTTCTAGCGTTTTATTTGAATGATCAAGGCTAATGGGTTGCATAATATTAAAGTACTGTAGAACGTCATGTAAGTTATAGTTGTGCCACGTTATACACACGTGTGTCTTACTACGTAGATTTGTGCGTCACTAACTACCTTTGTGACACACTAACTATAATTGTGCACATTTGTGCCACACTACGTACATTTGTTACACACTACGTACACTTGTCCCACACTACGTACACTTGTACCAAACTACGTACACTTGTCCCAAACTACGTACAATTATTCCACACTAGATACAACGTAAGAAACACGTTTTTTAAAATTGTGTATCATTATAACATTTCGCGGCTAGATGACGAGTATAGCACATGATTACTCATCCAAAGGTCTTGAATTCACACTTAAAAGACTGTAGATCGCCACTGATATCAACTTGAGTTTAGTGACTACTTTACAATATATATATATATATATATATATATATATATATATATATATATATATATATATATATATATATATATATATATATATATATATATATATATATATATATATATATATGTATATATATATATATATATGTATATATATATATATATATATATATATATATATATATATATATATATATATATATATATATATATATATATATATATATATATATATATATACATGAGTATTTTTGTACGCTGTATAATGTGTATGTATACGGTCTCTTGATCTCGATATTTCTCAACTTCTTACACACAAGCAAAACTATTATCAGCACATCATATCTAGAAGTAGGCTACTAGACAGCTGCTGCAAATATATTTGCATAAGTAAGTTAAAACAAGTTTCTTCCCGTCATTCTTAAGCACATAGTTGTGATGACGGTCTGGTGCGAAGGAAATGGATTACAGGTAAACTGTATTTAGATTTGTAGGAATTCGTTATTGTGTATATTTTAAATCAACTTTACCATAGCGATGACGCTAGTGATATATTTTGGATTCGTCTATAATATTGTAAATCTTATTTCACAATTTTAATTTACAGTTTAAAAAAGGGTAATAAATTGTTGGCATACAAGTTTGTACTGATTATAATTTATATTATCATGCTTCAAACTTTGGGTTGTAAAAACATAACAAAATCATAAGTATACTGGGCTTGATTTTTACAAGCTTTTATTTAACTCACTTCCTCTGTCGACAGTCTGTCAACATTCTGTCGACAGTCTGTCTGTCGTCAGTCTAGATGGAAACGCAGGGGTGAAAATTCGGACAGTTCTACTTGACCGATACGATTCACAGTTGGCACGTGGATCAAGACATGAAGACAATGCAATCTGAATCTAAATTTGACTTAATTGGATGCCTAATTAATTTTTTATGAATTAATTAAAATTTGGACCGAATTAGTAGGCATATCTAGCCAACCACACCACACGCGTCATCACGTTCAATAGCTGCGCCATCACGGTACGTTCAATAGCTGCGCCATCACGTTCAGTAGGCGCGCAATGGTTTTTAGTCATGTAACTCTATTGTAAATAAAACGGTGCGCGGACCTTTGACCACAGGTGCTTTGACCATAGGGGGTTTGACCATAGGGGGTTTGACCACAGCGGACCTTTGACCATAGGGGCTTTGACCATAGGGGTTTTGACCACAGCGGGCCTTTGACCATAGCGGTGCTTTGACCATAGGAGGTTTGATCATAGGGGGTTTGACCATAGGGGGTTTGACCATAGGGGGTTTGACCACATGTGTTTTCTCAGCAGAGGGTCTTTGATCACAGGTGGTCTATCAACTGGTGTTTGATCACAAGCGCTGTGTCCGGCTTTGATCATATGTGTGATACAATTAACACGATTTTATACATGTTTCCTGAGAGTACGTTAATAGAAATTAACATGTATTTAAAAAAAGCCAAGAACTATATTTTAGTCTCCACATAAAGGCTGGTGCTAGGCCTCATAGATTTATTTTAAATATAAATGAAACACAAATAATGCGACATATAACAAGTTTCACAAATAAATAATGTAGATGTACTTGAAAATACATAGCATATATAAAGGATGAAAGGATAAAAAATGATGCAAAACTTGCCAACAATTTAGTCAAAGATGTAATATATAAAATGGTTAACTAAATGACAGATATGCTATAGCACGCAAATATGTCAGTACATCTGTTTGACCATATGTCTGGACAGCACGTTGTACTTTTTCGTGCAGCATCTTGTATCGCTTCTCAGCTGGGTAGCTTGCCCCTGCGACACCTTGCAAGAAAGTTGTCTTTTGCCGTGTAGACCTTCAAGGAAACGCCACATTGTTGGGTGACTACATTGGAGGAGAGACTGATGACTGTAATGCCATCATTCACAAATGTTATTTGTTCGTGCTACACCATCGCCAATCGTGTGCATTTGATTCCAAGTTTCAACTGGAAACAAAGCAAGCTTGTACTTTTCGCCACGACCACGGATGCGACGACCTCGGACACAGCGCTTGTGATCAAACACCAGTTGATAGACCACCTGTGATCAAAGACCCTCTGCTGAGAAAACACCTGTGGTCAAACCCCCTATAGTCAAACCTCCTATGATCAAACCCCCTATAGTCAAAGCACCGCTGTGGTCAAACCCCCTATGGTCAAAGCCCCTATGGTCAAAGCTCCGCTGTGGTCAAACCCCCTATGGTCAAAGCACCGCTATGGTCAAAGCCCCGCTGTGGTCAAACCCCCTATGGTCAAAGCACCGCTATGATCAAAGCCCCGCTGTGGTCAAACCCCCTATGGTCAAAGCACCTGTGGTCAAAGGTCCTAGGACCAATAAAACATGTAAAGTACTGAAAAAAATTCATAAAAAACGTTTTAATAGCAAGCTTTTATGTAATAATGCACTAATAAACCGGGAGTGATCTCCCCTAAACTTTCTCGAATATTCTTATATAAAATAACAGGGGATGGGAACTCGGGCTATAGAAATGATTTTTAATCCATTTTAAATACTTAAAGTTTTAAAAATAGAATAAAATCTCGTAGACAAATTAATTGCACACCAAGTGAACGCTAAATAAAAAACGCATAATAGTGCGCAATATTATTAGTACTTTTAAAATTTACATTAGTTTTTTGAGAAATCGGAAGTAGCGTAAAGTACTACTTCCAGTCTACGTAAATTACTCAAAATTTTACAGAAGGTAGAGAATTAGATCTTTTACTTACATGTGAAATATCATTTATCTATCTGAAATAGTACTCAAGTTATAGGCTTTTGAAAAATTCAAAGTAGAAAAAGTACCACTTCCGGTTGTCGGAAATCGCTCAAAAGTTGATAAGGATCTACGATTTTGATATAATACTTATATATAAATTTCATCAACCTAGCTGTAACGGTACTCAAGTAATCGTGTTTACACACGGACAGACACACAGACACACAGACACACACACACACACAGACATACGGACAAGATTGCAAAATTATGTTTTTCCGTATCAGTGAGGTGTAAAACGTCGAGATTTGTAAAAATCTCGATTTTTTTTTTTTTTGCACGATTACAATACTTTCACTATACTTCGTATATACGAAAAAGTAAAAAGTAGAAAATAAATTATACACTATTATTTAAATTACTATAAAGAAAAGCGTGGGTCTCTTCTCAAATATTAGTAAAGGTATCCAAGCGGTACTAAAGTGACCCACGCTTTTCTTTATAGTAATTTAAATAATAGTGTATAATTTATTTTCTACTTTTTAGTGCATTATTACATAAAAGCTTGTTATTAAAACGTTTTTTATGAATTTTGTTTTCATTGTAAACACAACAATAAACATAGGCTTCAGACACTGCATGTAATACAGATAATAATATTTTCCAAGGGTCGGAAGTCGAGACATATAATACCATTAATAATACAAAAATCTGATTAAACTAATGTTTAACATTTACTCTGCAGTCTGAGCATCTAATACAATTCCAGTATGTCTTGTGAAATAAACCACTGTGCCACTAAATACTTAGCCAATGGTCTGAATGAACTAAAGCCTCTAGCCGTATGTAGCTCATCACAAGATAGTACAGCTGAAAAGAAGGGTAAGGATGATAAGCGATATTGCAATTAATTCGGGTTAAAATTGCTCATAGTGTATTTTAAATTGCTCATAGTGGATTTAAAATGATAAGTAAAGGTATAAGTAAACAATGTATTTGAAGTGGATAAAAACGACAATAATATTAAAAAACTGCCTCGGCACGTGTTGTTTTTCTGAGATGCAGTTTTTGGATGATAGAACATGCGTCTATACCGATGACGGAATGTCGTAATGAAGTAAGGAATCACACTACCTAGTGGCTTATATTAAAGATACTATTTGTTTGACCATGAAAACGTAATTATTATGTGGTAAACGTAATTCTATCAAATATTTTTAGTAAAACACATTCCCCTTGACTGCCATCCGCAGTAAAGTAGAGGTATAATTCTATGATCATAGCCAACAAATATAGTTGTAGTCATTATCCTGTTTAGTGTCGTAAATATTTGTTTACATTATTGATAATTTTAGCCTAGCGTAGACTGTAGTTAACATCGTAACTTTCAAACTTATTATAATTTATAATTTATTGCATGAAAATAACATCGCAAAAAAAATTTCAGGTCTACAGTATTTTCTATTCACAGGTTCCGGATGGTTTGTTTCGGCATTTCTTGTGGTCAATTCAACACTGGGTGCCGGACTTTTGAACTTCCCCATGGCCTATCACCAGGCTGGAGGAGTCTTGGCGGCTGTGATCGTGCAATCAGTAAGAAAATTAACTTACAAACTAATCTTAAATTATTGTTTTTTCTAGTCTTTTTTCTCAGGGCAGGGGGAGGGGACAGACACTGGTATAAGTATATATTTTCCATATAAATTATATTTTATTCGGGGAGCGGTAGACGTTCTCCGAGCCCCCGGGGATTTGACGAGGTACGCCCCCAAAGAGATGCCTGGAAGAAACCTTGTCTTAAATTATGTGTGTTGTATGGTTTGGCTCACTTAGTTAAAATGGGTGAGACACTGAGGAGATTAGGGTACAAACTTTGTTCTATGGCTCACTTATTTACAGCTAATGATAACGTGAACAGATTAGGGGACAAAAACACTTTGGTAGTGTATGAGTGACTTTACGTTAAACCGGCATGGTCGGACGGGTGAGTGCATGATAATTCAAACTTAAGTGAAGAGTTGGGATCTGATATTCCTGAGCGATGGACATACTTAAAATATTCTAAGAACCTGAAACTTCAATGAAAGAGTAAAGGCAGCTGGGCATAGAGCTGACATTTTCCCCTTAATAGGTTGAACTCTAATTGATTTAACTTAATTGATTTAGCCTTGCACATTTTAAAGAGTAATAAGAAAAACTACATTTTGTGTAAGTGTTACATAAAAACCAATCAGGTAATAATTGGTTGTTGTTCTCGTTGTTACACTGAAGTACTTGATGGCGTTGTTTCATGTATTGATTATTGGCAATTCAAAGACAAAGTTTCTATTCTTTAAAAAATAAATCAATTTTATTAAATTTACCGATAAAGTATCTAGCACTTCATATGTCTAGGAGAAAGGAAGAGATTAACTCTACTTCACCTGACTATATTTGTTGCGTTACTTTTAATACAAATTTTGAAACCAATAGTAACTAAATGTTTAATTTTGTCAAAATTATCATTTAATAAGTTCTTACTCTCATAAATTTAAAACAACTTTACCACTTTTTATTTTTACACAGGTTCTGATGGTATTTGTTGTGATAGGAATATTCATCATGAGTTACTGTTCTGATACCAAGGGAAGCAACACCTACCAAGACGTGGTTCTCTCTATCTGTGGCCCTAAAGCCCAGCTGGCTTGTGCAATCAGTATAGCCATCAGCTGTTTCTACACCTGCGTCACGTATCTCATTCTAATTAGCGACCAGTGGGAGTTAAGTGAGTGGACCATTTTTATCACATGTTCTATAATATAATGATTTTATTCCATATTGTTTTTCTTTTTTTCCCGTTCGTTCAAATACATATGAGCCAGATGAAGTATAATTCATCAGTTTCAGAGACATCGGAGGGTTTGGCGTGGTCGAGTCGGTAAAGCTCATGGTTGCTAAACCGAAAAGTCTCGAGTTCGAACCCTCGGGCAGATGAGGCTCGTTAGCTGGGGACAGCCACTCTTCTAGGAGAGACAACTCCAAAAATTAAACAACTACTGCCTTGTAGTTTGTTCTTGGTTGGACAAACGCTGTGGAAGCAAATCCAAAAAGAAAAGCAGGCTGAAATCGGAGTCAATGGCCCCAATAGCGCATAACCAGTTGACAAGTAACGCTTAATTGTGTTGGAGGCGTGGTCGAGTCGGCAAAAAAGCTCATGGTTGAACAAAAGTCTCTATCCCCCTCAACACTAATAATTAAGAACGAAGAAGAAGAAGAATACTTTGCATCAGCTGTTTTGGTATTTCAGCTTCAATTTAGAAACTTTGCACTCATTTTCTCAAAACTCTCAAAATACACTTAAGTACTTTATCCACTGAGCCCTTCATATTGTTTTTCTTTTTTGTCCCCGTTCGTTCCCAATACACATGAGCCAGACGAAGTATATCTCATCAGCTTCAGAGACATCGGCATTTTAAGTGATAGTATGGTAAACACCATGCCCAGAAACAATAATTTCCCCTAACTGGAGTTAGGTACCCATCATAATTATATGAATATTTAAATGGCCTTTAGTGGTCTGTGGTTTAAACAAGAATTTTTCCATCACGCTCATGTGGTAGTATTCACCACTGAGTTCGTGTGGCTCGTGCTTTAGCTCCTTCCTACCAACGGTCCTTCGCATTTAGGTCAACATCCCATAATTTCAGAGTGGTATATAAAGCAGGAATATTCCACACACGAGGCAGCCCATTAGATATCCACAGGAGAGAGAGCCACGTACGACGCCATGTTACATTTTCTATTTTCTAGATTAAGCAGTAAATATCCCTTAGTTCCAGTGTATTCGGTATTTTTCTGTGTCTCAATTTGATAACGTGTAGGTTGTGTTGATAACTTAGGTATCTTATCCAGTGTTAGTAGTTTCAGTTTGTTATTCTTTAAATCGTAAGTTGGGTCTGTCATTATTTGTATATTTCTATTGTTCTTACATAGCCATTTATTACTAGGCTTGTATGCATTTTAGAAGTTTCTAGATTGATTAAAAGTATTATTAGTTGCAGAAGGTCTTCGCGTGTGTTTTTACCCTAGACATTAGATTCGAGTCCACGGAGAGTTTTTGATTTTCTGATAGTCTTTTTAGTTTTGTATCCCGTCAGTCTAAAACCATACAAAACGAATCGGGGTGTTGCGTAATCTTTACCCTTGGTAGAGGTACGAAATAATAGCAATATATCTATATATATATATATATATATATATATATATATATATATATATATATATATATATATATATATATATATATATATATATCAGATACACCTAACTTATGTGCGGAGTTATTTTTCAGTTTTCCTGAATGTTTCATACGATCACTACTGTTACTCCAATCCATTCTACATGTCAAGAGCTTTCATTACCTCAGTTACGTCCATAGCCTTTATACTTCCATTATGTTTTCCTAAAAGAATAGATTTTTTAAATTATGTCAGGTAAGTGTCGAACAAATGATTACCACTATGGTTGCTCAATAGGTTTTTAATTTTTAAAAAATCTAAATTATCTTGATTTTATTTGTATGTGCTGTTGTGATTGAACTGTAAAAAAAAGTATGGTTGGGTAATTGACTGCCACTTGTTTGTGTTTTGGTTCGGTTCTCATTCACCTGTATAATTTTACATACACCAACAGTTTGGTGATTAATACTGATACAAAATTAAACTAGAAGTGTTTTCAATTTTAAAGTGCATGATTATTACACTTAGCGAAGTTTTGTATATTTTATGATGTGATACAACCAAGCTAATGTAACTATTTATATCGTCGCAGCATCGTTGGAGTTATAGGTATCTTGTATGTAGTAGGACTTATAAACATCAAATATTTTCTTCCTCATGATAATCAAGGAATTATTGCAACACGGTACGTTATGTAATACATATCAATAGTTAACAAAAGTAAAGATGAAATAAAAAAAAAGGAAATGCAAATCCATTTATTTTTATTTATTAAAAAAAATTGTACGTTTAATTTTTTAATATTTTATATAAAATAGAAATAATAGGACAATTGTGTATGTTTTCATTAGTATGTTCAAGTATTTTATTTTTAAATCTCAGGCCACATTCATTGATTGATGTTTTTCTAGTCGTCCCACAAATCTGTTTTTCTTATGAGGTGAGTTTATGTCAAGATTGGCTAAAGCAAAGTGTACATAAAAACCTATTATCCCGTATATTTTAAAACCTGAAGTTACATTAACCTCAGTTGTTTTTCAAGCTTGTTTTTATTTCTTGTAACTCAAATTTGACCCATTTCTAATGCAGTGATTTTGATCAAACTTTGTAGATACGTTTCACTGTAATGACAATACAAGTTTATCTATTGTAATCTTAATTAGATGCTTAATTATCCTAAAAAATGAATTAAATGATGTGGAAACTAAGAAGAGATAACAAAATTAAATCACTTAAGAGATAACTATGTTCCATAACAGAAGAGGAGATAACTAGCTAGACGCGATCATCCAAACAGTCTGATGAGCTGTGGCTCACCCCTAATGTTTACAATCGTAGCATAGGCCAATCTAGTGAAAGCTAAGGGGAGGTATATAGAAATATTTTATCGGCTTGCTGTTATCCGTAAATTATGGTCACTGACCGCTGTTTTGCACGGGTCAGAAAGGCGTCTTTAAGTTATCGTGAGCTACTGATGGTGTTTTAAATCAAATATGTTTAGTCGTGTCAATTTCATAAATTTAGAATTACTAAAAGCTAAAAAAATAAATGCTTTTTTAAAGATACTTTAAGAAATAAAACAAATATAAAACACCTTTATAAGGTTATTAAATGCACTGAAAAAAAAATACAAAAATTTGCATTTTCTCTATGAAAGCTATTTGGCGCTAAAATATATAAAAGATATCATGAGCGACCAAGCTTTTTATAAAAAAAAAGCAAATTAGTTTTATTTTCTAATTTTCAACGCATTAAAAAGCCTGTTGCTGTAACGATTTTTTTAAAATTTTATATTTGTTTTATTTTCAGTGTCATGTCAGTATGATCCCCATCTACTCCTGTATGGCAAAGCGTAACATGAGAGAGTTCTCTAAAACAGTAACACTTGCCATGATATTGTGTGTACTAATCTACACTGTCACTGCAACTCTCGGATATTTACAGGTTTGTGAAGCCAGTTTTGTTTTAAATTTACGCCAAACAAAACCGTACATTGTTTCTAATATTGAAAAAGAAAACGTAATATATACCAACCTTTGAAATATTATGTTAAAAGTATATTTACACATTTTCTGCTTGTTTTTTTTCAATACATTTTAGATAATTTGCCATTTTTTTCTATAAAAATTGATCAGTAATTAATTAATACTTTATTACGGATTTCATTTAAAAAATAATATACATTGTAATTGATGAAGACTTAACAGTAATCTTCCGTATGGAAAAAAAATAAACACCTTTTTTTTACGATTTCAGTTTTACATTATTTGAAAAAAAAACTGTTGTATCATGGATTAATTTAACTTTACAGCATTATTTTACAGTTTGGTGAAACCATCACTAACGACATACTGCTGTCGTTTAACCCTACCGCGGATGTGATGGTTGCTGTAGTTCTTGTGGCTGTGAAGACATACACAACATATCCAGTTTTTTGTTTTCTAGGGAAGTATGTGGTTAATATTTTCGCAGATTGTGATTTTTTTACAGTGGGTATCAAATGACCCTACCAAGAACGGTTTCAAAATGTTTCAAGAGGCCCATTAAAAATCTTTAAAATCATGCACGGTGTAAATGAAATTAATATGGTTATAAAAACCCGACTGTTTGTTTATTGTGTGACTTTAATTAAAACTTTACTTTCTTACGGAGGCTAAGCAAAATAATTCAACATTTTGTATTAGCATCTGGCGTCGTTGCTAAATTGAACGAGTGATGGATGCTAATTTTAAAAGTCTCAATTAAAAAAAAAACAACGTAACCCCCCCCCCTATATCGTCTCAAAAAGCCATACCTCCACATATAAAAATATGTCACACCTGATCCTTCATGTTTTTGTCTGCTAAAACATATGTTCTGGCCTCAAACTTCATTGGAATAAGAACATAATAAAATCATTAAATTTAATGACGAAATAATGCATTTTACATGTGGAGGCCTGGTTGTTTGAGACGATATGGTGTGGGGATGGGGTATGTTGGAGGAGAGATAAAAGTCATCAAATAAAACGTGAGGTCCCGTTTATGAATTACTCCTTAACCCATAGTTATACAACGGATGACGGTTGGTCTAGTAAACATTAATAGCATTTGATACGTATTTCAATTATTGACGAAATATACTCCAAAACTAGACATAAATAGAATGCGAATCCCTGTCTAAATTTTATGACGATTTAAATTAAATCAATGCTAGTACTAAACATAACTTTCTAAGAACGTCTACCTCCATCAACACAGGTCCGCGTTCGACACAGTGTGGGGAATGTGCTGGAAAATGAGCCCAGAAGAAATTTTACATAGAGAAAAAACGAGACGTGTCATAACTACACTGGTGTGGTTCACCTTGACCCTGCTGTTGTCCATCTTCATCCCCAATATAGGCGTTGCCATAGAGATCATCGGTGCCTTTGATGCAGTATTTATTTTCGTATTTCCGGGTAAGCAAAAGACGGAAATACATTCGGAAGCTAAGCTTAAAAAATAATATTCCATGTGTTATATATATATATATATATATATATATATATATATATATATATATATATATATATATATATATATATAGATATAGTCTATATAGATATATATAGATATATATAATATTTAAATAATCATAATAGTGTAAGGTACATTCCAGATAATACTATTCTATTTCTTAGGTTTATGTTTGTTGAAGACTATGCAGAATAGAATTGAAACAGGAGAGAAACAGCCCAAGACAGTTCACGTATTGAAGGGAATAGCCATCGCCTTTCTTATTGTTGGTGTGTTTATCTTTGGACTGACGTTGTCGCAATCCATAATGAAAGACATTCGTGGTGTCAAGCGTGACTCGTCTATATTCACGTGCAGATAGAATCAACTTTTTTTTATAGAGATAGCATTTTTTGTTCTGGATGCAACATTTTTAGTACTGACAAAATAAATCCAATGCATGATTGGATAATATAATAAATACTGGTCTAAGGTTTGTCGAACATTTAAACTAAAAAAAATAAAGAGGGTGTAATATCATTTAAAACTTCTCGTATTTACTCGTATAACAGTGGGGGGGGGGGGGGGGTGGAGGGGGTGGAGGGTAGGGGGATTACAATTCCAGGGCTATAGAAATGTTTTATTAGATTTTTTAAAATACTTTTTTTAAACTAAATAGATTTGCGCGAAAAATAATAATAAAGAAAAATGAACGAAAACTGTGTTAATATTATAGGTCGGAAAATTAGTACATTCTAGAGGAAACATGATTTTGTCACTCAAAATTTGAAAGAAACCTGCGAACGAGAACATATACCTACGTATATAATGTCATCCAGCCAGTGGTGTAGCGAATTGGGGAGGGGGGGTATATATGTCCCCGGGAGCACACCCTAGGGGCGCCAAAATAGGTTTGAACAAAAAAAAATTGTCGTGTTCGTGCTTGTTGTTTTGGTTGTGGTTAGTTATGGTAAGGTTTAGAATTAGGTTTTAGATTAGTTTCACAAATTCATTTAATCTAGACATTTAATTTGAAACTTAATATATGTGTTTCCGAATCCCAGACAGCGCCTGGTATATGCTGTTTAATAAACTAACAAGCCGCTGTATTTTTACAGATAAGTTTTTCACAAAGGCCAGTATAGGGCCTGACCGCGACGGCTAGATGGGTAATAAACTACTGTTTTCTAAAAATATTTTTTGAAATAACTTGCTTTTACTGTCAAGATACGAAAACTGAAGTATAATATTGCGCGTACTTTTTCTTAAAATAGGGATTCGCGTTGTATACAAAAAAGTAAATAATTGATTGGAACAATGTTGATCTCCCCAACGTATAATAATTATCAAGGCCATTGTCAGAATAACACAACATGTTCGGCAAAGAATTAGAATTATGTCAATCGACCTATATATTGTTCTTCATGATACGCCTCCATACTTGGGTGTTGGGCTCTAAGGGTGATGAGATTACCAACATATGGGAGTGGAGCCCAGATTATGTACATAGACTTTCATCACAGGGGATACATTCACCAACATGAATTTGACACTTGATCATCCAACGGTTAAGAAAATAAACCGCTATTCACCATACAGTACCTTATTTTAGTTTTGATGTAAATGGTTAGTTGAATTTTTTTTAGCCATCTATTACCAACACACGTGAAAGACATGCAAAAATACAAATAACACCTACACATATGAATATTTGTTAGAGACATCAAAGTAACATCTACACCGGGTGCTATATAAACATATAAGGGAGATCAAAGCCTCGCCTACACATTGATATGTATAATGTTGTTAGAGACATCAAAGAATCCCTACACCGGGTGATGACTAACCAATGAAGTAGTATCAAAGTAACATATGTGATCTATTCTTTATAAATTTTTTTTATCAATTTCCTTCTATAACGAATTCATTTTTACTAGAGTTGTATTTGAATGATCAAGAGATGTTGAACAATGTGTTGAAAGATATTAAATTAAAAAATACGGTAGAACGTCTTTTATGCTGTTGTTGTGCTGCAATACATACCCATGTGCCGTACTACGTACATCTGTGCGGCTTTTTGTACATTAATTCCACACTACAAATAATTAAGTCACACTACGCACAGTTATGCCACACTACATACAACATAAAAATACGCTTCTAAAAATGTATATCATTATAATACGGTAAAGCGATTTATTACTATTTCGAAAGTTATTGGCACAACCTTGACATTTTTTAATACAACTTGATCTGGAAATGCATACTCTGGTTGAAATAGTATTGACGACGCTGTCACCAGTTGCCAACATCACATAAACATACGTTATGTACTTTACCAAATGGACCATCAGATCGGAAAGCTAACGTCACTTATTATTTATTATACGCACAAATGAAACTTACTAGGGTTCTTACAGTAGTCCACAACATACAAGCGTCAACATCCACACATGTTTCAATATCTCATTGACAAACGATTGCATGGGTTAATGAATATTGAAGGATTTTTCTTTGTTCTCTTCAACTCTAAATGCAAATGAAGAGGTGTAGAGATGGGTCGTTACATCAACAACTAGCCAAGGGTTTATCCAGAAAGCAAAAAACGGTGTGAAAGTCGGGGAGTAACGGATTGTTGAAGTGTTTCTTTCACGATCTCCTCTAGGGAAGGCACAATTCCCACGAAGGAAGTCTACCACCCCCCAATGAAATATAGCTTGCATATCAAAATTTACTTTTACCAGTTTCCGCCCCCCCCCCCGTCCCTCCACTAGGATAACTTGGTTCGCCCTTATCACTAAATGTTTCATGGAGTAAAATGTCTGAAAGAAAAACTTTTTGAATGTGTGTTGCTTTACAACAGATAATTACAACAATCGGCAAGGCAAAAAATATAATATATGATCTCCCTTAAATTTTATCGTATTTTGTTCTGCAACTATAAGGAGTGGCACTACAAAGGCTAAAGAAATGTTTTGCATTAATTTGTTTATAATAATTACATTTTTTTAATTAAACAAAACCGCGCAAAATTGCGCACCAACTGAATGGAAACAGTGTGAGTATAACAAGCAGAGAAAGGGAACTTCTATTACCTTTTTTTGAAAAATTAGCAATAGCTGTAAGTGCTCCTTCCGGTCACACATACATACATACATACATACATATATATGCTTTAGTGTAAGTTGTAGTAAAATGTACAAACATACATTTTACTACAACTTACATAAAAGCAGGACGATTATTATCTCGTTATCGTTTTAAAAAGACATCTGCTACCATTGTATTTTCATTAGCAAGTTAAATGAAGCGAGTTTATTTCAGTCTCAAGCGAGCGGTTGTGATGCTGGCCTTGTGTAAAGTGAATGGAACACAGGTACAGTTAAGACTGGTAGGAATACGTTTTTTATTTTAAATCAACTATATCAAAGTGGATATATCTTGGATTAAATTAGCTTTTAAACTATAGTTTACAATAGATTAAGATAATGTTAAAATAAATGTAAATGTTCTTAATATTGAGACGATACAAAATGATTTTACCGTTGTGTAAGACAGTTCATGCGCCAGCCAAATTTATGTCGCCAGTTCAATTCCAGTTTAAAATATGTTATAAATTATGGGCACAAAATTATTCTTTGGTTTAAAACTTATATTAATAAACTACACATTTTGTGAGTAAAAGCTAAAACATAAGTATACTAAGCTTGATTTTTTAAAAATCTTAATCTTAAAGTAAACGTAGGCGTTAGTAAAATAGTTAGTAAAATATATTCAATATTCAGCTATTATTTGTTACCGTTAATAACACAGTGAGAGGAGTAAAATGTTGTTTTATTTTTGTCAAAGTAGTCTGAGCATATCACGAAAGTCCAGCATGTCTAATGAAGTGGACCACTTAGCCAATGGTCTGAATGAGCTAAAGCCTCTGGCAGTTAGTAGCTCATCAGCAAACAGTACAGCTTCGAAAAAAGGTAAGAATTATAAAAGACAGTTAAGCGAAAAATAAATAAAAATTGATCGCAGTGTTATTCAAATCACAAATGATAATTGAAAGTCAGAGTAAACCATTTGTTAAAGGTAGTTAAGCGACCTTTAAATGAATACAGTTTTTAGCTAAAACATTTTTATTTGGTTGTGAAAGTTATTCATGTAAAGATATCGGTTATAAATAACGAATTTTTTTTTCACTTGATGTTTGTTATCTGCATTTTAAAGTAGAGTTCTAACTCTACGATTATAGCCTACAAAATAGTTGTATTCATGATCCTGCTCATTGACAAAAATATTGGTTAAATTATTTATCAACTTAGCCTGGTATAGACTGAAAGCTCTTGCCAGCGGCCTATGTCCAAGGAGGGGCGACAGGCAAACCTAACCTAACCTATAGACTGAAGTAACATTACAATCTTCCAGCGTTGTGGTTTATTTTATTTCGTGAAAATAATACCATCGTAATAAAAATAATGCATTTTTTGGGCCAGGTTCTGGCTGGTTTGTTTCAGCGTTTCTTGTGGTCAACACTACACTGGGTGCCGGACTTCTCAACTTCCCCATGGCATACCATCAGGCTGGTGGTGTCTTGGCGGCTGTGATCGTGCAATCAGTAAGAAGATTGGGGTCAATGATTTACATACTAATTTTTATTCTTTGTTTTGTATTCTCTTGCTCATTTCCTCGATACTAGTGAGACGGTAAGAAGATGAGTGGCTAAAGTTTAGGGATTTGTATGGTTGACTTAATGTAAATCTGGTAAGACGGCTTGGTCGGACGGTAGAGCGTATGATTGCTAATACAAAAGTAAAGGGTTGGGATCTAACACTCCTGTCTGATGAATCCATTGAACTATTATGGGTACCTGACACATGACTGAGCAAAGAGGCACCATTTTCCACCATACTATGATAAACTCTATTTCATTAGAATTCACACTGAAAAGTGTAAGAACAAAAACTTTACGTTTGTTTAAGTGATAGATAAAACCCAATAAGCTAATAATGAGCTGTTGTGTCGCTGTTACACTGTTGACTTTAATGGCGATGTTTCATGCATAATTTATTAGCAGTTTAAAAAAAATTATTCTTAAAAAATCTATTAAATTTAATTTACCGATAACGATTCTACAACTTATTATGTCTAAAAGAAAGGAACATATGAACTCTATTTTACCTAAATAATAGACCTCATTAAGTCTATAACAGATGTTTAAATTTTGAAACCAATAGTAACTAAATTATTAATTGTCTTAAAAACGTTTGACAATACGCTCTTTCGCCAAAGTCTTTCAAAAATTTTGTCCTGAAAAAAATAATTATTGAACAGGTCCTGATGGTGTTTGTAGTGATAGCAATATTCATCATGTGTTACTGTTCTGATACCAAGGGAAGCAACACCTACCAAGACGTGGTTCTCTCCATCTGTGGCCCTAAAGCCCAGCTGGCTTGTGCAATCAGTATAGCCATCACCTGCTTCTGCACGTGCATCACATTTCTAATTATAATTAGTGACCAGTGGGAGATAAGTGAGTGGACATTGCTGTTATATATTTATATAAACTTTCGAAAGTTTTTGAGAATAGTCCTGGAAAATTTTGTGGTAACAAATATTTTAACCTAATGGGCTCAAAAACGCACACGAGAACTTCGGAATAGAAATAAAGAATACGAGCCGACCCGCGGCGTATCACACGAAGCTATTTAGTTTTATTTTCTACTTTTCAGTAATTCATAATTTGTGAATTCGACAGTACCAATGCTGTCACTAAAACCCTCATTTCCCCCCCCCCCCCCCATTGAAAGCAGCCTCCTCTTAGTTACCTCCCCTAAGTTTAAAATAGTTTCAAACTAAATTATCTGCTTCCTAATAGCCTAATAGCCGTCACTAAACCCGGCTCTACGATTGTAAACATTTAGCGGGAATCACAGCTCACCAGACCATGTGGGGATGGGGGTGGTTGCGATATGCCTAGAGAGGAAGAGAGGGGGATGGACTGTTAGGCACGCTTACATCTTGGTGTTTTCTAACGTCTCCAAGAAGAGAATTATATATATATATATATATATATATATATATATATATATATATATATATATATATATATATATATATATATATAAATTTATGAATTTTGAATATTCAAAGGAAATAACATGGTTGTTTCTCTTTGTCCATACAAATCATAACTAAAACTGGGATTGTCTACCGTTCTAAAAGTAATGCTTATTAATACTTTTGGTTTAAATCTACAGTTTTGTAAGAAATGTTTCAATTCTGAAAATACGGATTGGTAATCTATCTAAGCATATAAAATTGAAGTTTTGTCTGTATATCTGTATGTTTGTCTTTTATGCATTGCTCACTCTTTGGATAGTTGTTGAGAATACACCTGGAGAGGTTTCTGCGAAAATCAATTAAATTCTGAAGAGGCGGCACCCCAGTAGGGTGCAATTCGACGCCCCAGGATTCACCGCGAACACTATGGCGCATACATCTATTTTCTAACAGCACGATACGCTAGGAACACGGGGGCAGATACCAATCATTAATTTAACCAAACCAGAGACGTCCCTGGCGTCCCTGTGGTAGTGTAACTGGTAACTCCTTAGAGGGTGAATCAAGACTTTCATACAGCACTCAAAAGGACGACTATGCTGTTGTGTGGACAAATATCAGATCCAAGAATTAACTCAGTTTATATATATATATATATATATATATATATATATATATATATATATATATATATATATATATATATATATATATATATATATATATATATAATGTAGTTGCATCTAACTTATTTACGAATCTTTTTTTTGCAGTTTTCCTCAATATTTCATATGATCACTACTGTAACACACAGCCCTTCTACATGACCAGAACTTTTATTATATCATCTACGTCCATAGCTTTCATACTGCCGATATGTTTTCCTAAAAGGATAGATTTTTTAAGATATGCCAGGTAAATAAATTTAAAACACATCATTGCCAATTTGACTTATAAGTTTATAATTTAAAAAAAAAACGAAATTACATTATAACCCACTAGTTAGTGTAATCGTTGAATTATAGTTTAACTCTGAATAACTTAATACAAACAAAAACATTGGGTGATTAACACTGATAATGTAATTTGATGACAAAATATGTCTAAATTATAAGGTAGGACAATTTAAATAACATATTATTACATTTAGCGAAGTATTGTGTATTTCTTGATGAGATATAACCAATCTGATGTAAATATTTGTATCGTCCCAGCATCGTTGGTGTTATAGGTATCTTGTATGTAGTTGGACTTGTTACCATCAAATATTTTCTTCCTCATGATAATCAAGGAATTATTGCCACTAGGTAGGCCTAAATTATGAAAAACATTTTACTTTTTAACATAAGTAAACCTCTTTTTTTAAATCCTAATATGAAAACGTTAAGTGTTATTTAAAACAAATAAATGTTCAAATTTTAAAATTCTTTTATAAACTGAATAAAATATGATGACAGTAGTGTATGTTTTCAATGGTCAGAGAATATATACGCAACGTAGAAATGTAAAACAGAAAACTGCGCACAAAGATATGTTAATGTCCTTTTTGTTTTCTTAAATTTAGCATTTACGGACATTAGTAAAGAATGACCAAATGCACATGCGCGCACACTTAAACATTTTTTCCATGAAATTAGCCAAATATAACTAGTTGTATTTGCGCATTTATCTTTTTGCTCAGTTTTCCATAACGCAGTTTTCCGTTTGTAATTTTACTGTGAATCGTTTTCAATGGTATAGTCAAAGAATATTTTTTAAATATCAGGCCTCATTCATGGTTGGACGTGTTTCTCGTCGTTCCACAAATTTGTTTTTCTTATGAGGTGAGTTCGATTTGATTCATGTCAGACTAATGCTAAGTGTACATGAAACATATTATCCCGTTTTCTGTCTTTGAAATCTGAAGTTAAATTAACCTCAATTTGTTTTTTCTAGTGTCATGTCGGTATCGTCCCCATTTACTCATGTATGGGCAAACGCAACATCAGAGAGTTCTCTAAAACAGTAACACTTGCCATGATATTGTGTATCATAACTTACACAGTCACTGCAACTCTGGGTTATTTACAGGTTTGCAAAGCTAGTTTTGTTTAGATTTTTCTCCAAAGAAAACTATTTCAAATAGTGTAAAAGAAAGCATTTCAAGAACATGTGAGTTTGTAATTTTAAATGTTTTATTATTGTATTTTCTGTTTTCTTATTTTGATAAATTTAAGGTATTGTGATTTACGTAAGCCATTACTATCAACAAATTTGTTTAGTTTAAACTATTTACATACAAGTATATTGTAATTAGTACTTCAAAGATTTTCGGTCATTTTTTAAATAGCCTCTTAATTTAGGATTTTATTGTCTAAACTATGTCTAATTTACAATCATTTAACAATGTTTTCTTTCAAAGAAAAAATAATGTACATTCTAATAAACTAGAGTTTAAAACAATTGTATCATTAAATAATTTAATTTAATTTTACAACCTTTTTTTTTACAGTTTGGTAACAATATCACAAACGACATACTGCTGTCGTTTAACCCTACAGCCGAGGTGATGGTGGCTGTAGTTCTTGTTGCTGTAAAGACTTACACCACATATCCCATTTTTTGTTTCCTTGGGAAGTAAGTCTGTGCTTTATATTTCTTTAAGTTGTCACTTTTATTTCATTGGGTACCAATTCGTTTAGGTAGTTTGTGAATTATAATTTAGGCTTCACTGTCTTTATAAAAGTCTGTAAAAATTGTTTAAATGATGTTATACATTGATGTCATAGCATATACTAATGACTAATGCAGCTTTGGTTGTGGGTAATTTTAATAAAAGGCAACAGCAGACTTTTAAATATAAATTAAATTTTTAATTACATAATACACAATACTTATGACACTTGAATATCCATCATAGAAATAAGTACTGGATATAATACTTATCTAAACAGAAGTCAACATAAGAAAACACTGGAATAAATATCTAAACAACACATTGATGCCTATATTCGTTCTCACAGTCAACGAACTTAGTGTCTGCTTACATTAATCTAGGCGTCGCCCCGATCACCTCCAATACACACAGTTTAAAATCCAATTACCTCCAATGCACACCTTTTATACGCAAAAACCTCCGATACACACCTTATACACCCTGAACACCTCCAAAACAATCTTTATAGACGCAAACTGCTCCAATAAAAACCTTGCAGACCCAGAACACCTAAGTTACAAACATTATAACATACTCTCGTGTTTACACACTACTGCAAATTAGCGAAATCCAAAAACAATATATTAAAACATGTGATTGATCCTTACTTAGCTAAATCCGTTGGCAACGTATTGTACTGTCACACAAAGCTCACTCCAAAAATAGCAATCTAAAATAATATTCAGTTAATTTTACCTTGGACACACCACGAATTAATTGTGCAATACATTTCGTACATTTGAATCCAATATAACCGTCTTTAAATTATGTAATATATAAATTTATTTATTTTGATATATGCGTTAGTAGTCAACTTGATAACTATTGAAATTCATTTGCATTATTGAATATTAATTTTAAAAAAAAAATCACTCCAAATCTAGACACAAATAATCTCCTTAAACTTTCTCGCATATTCTTAAGCAACAGTTGGGTATGATTCTCTTTAGGGCTAGAGGATATTTTTATTAGATTTTTTTTATACTTATTTTTTTTTTAAATAGAGTAGCGCAGAAGAAAAAAAAATATGCATTAAATAATTGCAAACAGTGTAAATATTTTAGATTGGTTGGAAAATTGGTACGTTCCTAAAGAAACATTTCCTTTTGTGAAAAATCGTAATTAGCTTTAAGTACTAATTCCGGTCACCGGAAATGACTTAAAATTTGAAAGAAACCTGCGAATTAGAACAAAAACATAAGGATGTAATTTCATTTAGGTAACTGTAAACTTTTAATTAAGTAACACTTTTGATAATTTCACTCTAAATTTGTTTCCACTACTAGACATTACATTATCCCTAATTGCCGGTAACATATGCCATTACCACCGTATTGATGACGTTAATATTATTCAGTATTGGTTTCGGCATTGGATGTTTGATTCTTTGTTTATTCTAGAATACATGGCGTCAATTTATTGTTTTTACTTTTCCGACTTAAAAACTGTACACGTTTCGTTTCGCCTGAATACAATCCTATACGTTTAATGTGATGTCATTGTAGTTCCCTGTTAATTATGTATCTTCTAGAGAAATCTTGACAGACAGACAGACAGACAGACAGACAGACAGACAGACAGACAGACAAAGAGACAGACAGACAGACAGACAGACAGACAGACGGACGGACGGACGGACGGACAGACAGACAGACAGACAGACAGACAGACAGACAGACAGACAGACAGACAGACAGACAGACAGACAGACAGACAGACAGACAATATAGCAAAACTATTATTATATTGTTTTTCAAATTCAATTTTAATGTCATTAAGTGGATTTTAAATAACATTTTACATATATCGAACGAAAATAATCCAACAAAATGAAAGACGCAATAAGATAAACTTAGAAGCCTAAAAGGAAAAAAAAAACATTCAAATAGAATAATCTCATCTTGTGTTAATTAATAAAATTATGGCTACTTTGGTAAGTATTAACCTAGATTTGAAGTTTTGTATGTGGCCGACTGACCCTTGGGAAACATTCATATAGCACAAAATTCAACTTGGTCGTCATAGTGTGATTTTCTTAAAGTACTTTTGAAAAAAATCAAAATTCATAATTAAAAAACTGAATATTGATAAATTTTAAAGTAAATTTTCATTTTTTAAATTATCATTTTGATTAATATAACGCTAAAAGAACAAAATTAAAATGAAAGTATTACCCTTTACAAAAATTAAAATTAAAAAAAAATATATAAATCACGTCCCTTTCTACCAAATACATGTTACAAAATAACTTTAAAAAATAAACACTTTCAAAAAAGTTAGTTCGTTACACCCTCTCCTCTCCTGTCTCCCAGTCTGAGTCGCCTTCTCCAAAGTTTCCCGTAACTCCTAAGATTTTGTCGGCCACCGATCATAGTTAAACTTGACCAGAGGACCCCCTTCTACAGCAGAGTTGGACATTAATTGTTCTAGACGATTTACTTTATCAGCCAGAATTGAACCGATGGTCTTGGGGCTGACAAAATTTACGGTTACATTTTTTAAAGATTTGTGAACTTTCACCATTTCACAGAAAGCCTGTAAAAAGATCACCTGTGAATAAACAGGACAAATTTATTTGTTAGCAAAGTGTTGAAAATACTTGTCATAACGTGGTCACTTTCGCTAAACAAACTGAGCGATATAAATTAAAACATCTCCAAACTGTAATGTCATGTTCGGGGACACCAGTATGCTTATCCATTTACACAAACGCGCACATACACATGCGCACGAACACGCACACGCACTCGCACATGCACACAAACACACACACAACTAAATAAAGAATGTATATATTTATATAAATATATATGCATATATATATATATATATATATATATATATATATATATATATATATATATATATATATATATATATATATATATATCCACAGCGAATAGGTTATAGATTAAGCATACAGATATAGGTATAATATGAAGATGTATTCGCAATAAACGTATTTTTTAATAGTTACATTAGCCGCAGCCCTTGATTTGATTGATATAGAAAGAGTCTGTAATCTTTCAAAAGATTCCACATGACGAATATATTCATCCGTTAAATCCTGCTTCAACAAGTGCTGACTGAGATGCAATGTGTGTAGCGAACGGTGATACTGGGCGGCTAGTTTGTCCATGGCAAACTGTAGACATTTGAATATATATATATATATATATATATATATATATATATATATATATATATATATATATATATATATATATGTTAAGACTGAGTCTATGCAAATATGGGAAAACACGTAATGGGATACCCTATTGTATTTGAGGCATAGACCACAAGCTGGGTGGTGAGGGCCAGAAAGATAGGACAGTTGAACGTTCCCATTTTATTGAAGACTAAAGTAGTAACCATTAAAGTAGCCTAGCTGAAATTGTGTTTGCGTTTTACTTGAACCTCTCAATGCAGTCATCACCACCATCAGTACCAACCATATAAATGACTATAAAGTTTTAATTCTGTATTTGGCTGACGGACGAGTGGACGGACCTGTGGTAACAAAGTGCTCAATATCTAAATTATTGATTTAAAAAGTTAATTTTGAAGTTTTTCTAAAACAAATTTCATTTTCCAAACTTATAATGTTAATTGACGGCATTTGCATTAAATACAATGAAAGAAAATGTATCAACCTTTAACAAAAATTCTAGTTGTGTTTGAAAATTACTTCCTTTAGTCCTTTAGCACTATTTATTTTCCTTGATAAATTACAAAAACACAATTACTTCCCTTTACAAAAATTACATAGAGTGAGAATATAATTTTTTATCAATTTGTTTTGGTGTTGGGAAAAGATAATTACAGAATTTCACGGATTGATAAAGTGCAATGTGTTAGGTAAAACACGGATATTTTAAATACTGCTTTTTTTATTTTATGCACTGAAAGTACTGTTTACTAAATATTATTTGTAATCAATAGCAGTTTAGAAGCCGTTCCTAAATGTTCTCTATGTTTACTTCTATCTTTCCGTTTGCCGTTAAGCTTGGGGTATTATCGTTCACTAATTTAATGTTCATGAACAGATTCCTTAGACAGAGTTTGAAACTCAGGTGGCAGGACTAAATGCCGAACATAGAATTATGGAAAAAAGCAAGGCAGGACACACGCTGAGAAAGGCTTTTTCAAATCTGACACGCGAAGCGCTTGAGTGGAACCCCAAGGGAAAGCGGAAGAGGGCGCCCAAGACAGACCTGGAGGCGGAGTCTTCTCGAAGAACTGAAGCCAACAGGAATGTCTTGGGAGACGGCAAAATTAATAGCCGGGGATCGGATGAAATGGAAGGAAATGGTTGAGGCCCTATGTTCCATAAGGAGCAGAGAGGACTATCACTAAATTAAAACAGGCGCGTCCGCTAGCGCCCTGTCAGGGTTCGATTTTGCGCCCTGGGCTATCCTGTGAGCACCATGGTGCAACATTTCTTCTTAAACAGTGCGATAGACTATGGATTAGAAAGAATGCTATAGTCCAGGGGTTTCCAAACTATGCGGCCCGCGAGGTCCTCTCATCCGGCCCGCGAAGATCTTTTTGTACACGGAAAAAAACGTTTGTTGAAGTTGGCTGAGGAACTTGCTCAGAAAGTCACGACATGCCTGGAAGAAACTGGCCCCCGAACTGAAATTTGATGGTTAATGTGGCCCTCGGACTGAAAAGTTTGGAGACCCCTGCACTATAGTCTTTAGCTGAATCGAATCCGGGTGTCTTCCCTCGCCCCGATATAAGGATATTTTGGCGCGGGTCGGTTCACACTGCCGCCCGGGGGCCACCTGCCACTAGCCGTGTGTCGAGCACGTCGCAAGCTCTCCCGGGAGCCACCTGTTCCACTTGAGCAGTGGCGTCCCCTGGTTGTGTTTTGTCACCGATTGCAGTGGCTTACCGTGTCCCAACTGTAGAGTGCTGTTTAAAACTAGTGTAAGTGCCATAGTGCTCATAGGGAAGCCCCGTGTGCTCCGGGTCACCCGACTGCCTGGGTGCTTATCAATGTGCCTAGTGCAGTTTGACCGTTCAATCAAGTAGTGCCCCTGACTCGCAGTGCTGGGCCCCATGCCAGGGCGAAGCTCCTTGAGATTTTTTTTTTGCAGAAATCTTTCCAGAAGTAGGCTATTCTCAACAGCTTTCCAAAGTTTCATGAAGGACAAATGAAACGTGTAGTAATTCATATGCACAAACGAACAAGCCCACAGACTGACATGCTTTCGTTTTTTATCTATACATACATTTAAACATATATAACCCACGAAAATGTAAACACATTAAAAGGATATTAAACTGAAACATATCACCGAGACCTCATCCCTGGGTCTAAGGGGTCCTGTGAACTGGGTCGTTAGGCTGACCAACTGCATGTGTGGGGACAAAATGACGTATTCTTTTGGGTTCTCCAACGCTTTTAGTGTCACAATCAGATGGGGATAGGCTTGTGCAAAGTTCCTCCATCTCAAATCGTGAATGATTTCCAGGCCTATATATAAATAAATAATATATATATATATATATATATATATATATATATATATATATATATATAGATCTATATATATATATATATATATATATATATATATATATATATATATATATATATATATATATATATATATATATATAATGTAATAGTGCGACTGTTTGTGATGGTTCTACCAAAGCTAGAAATGTGCTAAACGGATACACGTAATTCAAACTAGCATCTAATGTCTAGTTATATTTTTAATCACATGCTTAATGTTCTTTATTTCGTCTCAGTCAAGTAAATATCTATTACAAGAAAACACACTAAATAAAAACTCAACCGGCTTCCACAGCAGACTTCCAAATCTTTGAAACAAAAAAAAACAAGAAACCTGACATAACCATCCAACCGTAAATCACCGAATTGATCGCCGTCAACTCTACAGCTAACTTGGTCGACCTATCTTACAACAGCAACGACTAGCTTTCAAGGTCGGCGTCTGTATAACCTCCACCTTACAGTCAGTCTTATCTAAATCGTCCGAAGTCATAGGTTATGTTATATCTAGGCGGTTCCGTTTGTTTAACCTGATGCTTCCCCTAGCTTTGTTTATATCTGGCTTATGGCGATAACAATGTCGAATTACTACATAGCCCCCCCACCCCCACTCCAGCGCTAAAGAATTACAAACCGAAATTACAGTTCTCTGGGTCTCAAAATCGTGCATCTCTATCACCTGTTGCATCTCTATCAAACTGTCTTTAACGGCATGTCCAACTTCAGCTAGAGCTATAAATATGGCCCCTGTCCTTTTAACGTTATTTAATATTTTATTTACTACTAGTACTATAGCACTCTAAACCCAAATACGTGTTTATGTTGCCCTACCACACGATGGCTCAATACACAATTTATGTATTTATAGGATACTGGTAATGCCTTCCACATAAATTCCAGTCACTCAAATCTATTGCTGCTCAATGTTCACTTCCTCTACCGTCACTAAACTAATGCTTGCTAACTCTACAATATTCTCATTGTTCTACCGTCCCGCTTTTCTCGTCCTTTCGTTGACAATACGTATCGTCATTCTGTGCAGTCTACTTACTAGTCGGACGCAATTAGTAATCTGTCAACATCTAATGTAGACATCACTAAACCTTGTGTCCACATCTATAATTGACACCACTACACCATGTGTTCACATCTACAATTGACACCACTACACCATGTGTCCACATCTACAATTGACACCACTACAACATGTGTCCACATCTACAATTGACACCACTACACCATGTGTCCACATCTACAATTGACACCACTACACCATGTGTCCACATCTTCAATTGACACCACTACAACATGTGTCCACATCTACAATTGACACCACTACACCATGTGTCCCCATCTACAATTGACACCACTACATCATGTGTCCACTTCTACAATTGACACCACTGCATCGTTGGTCTACATCTACAATTGACACCACTACACCATGGGTCTACATCTACAATTGACACCACTACAGCATGTGTCCGCTTTCTACAATTGACACCACTACACCATGTGTCACGTATGTTTTGATGAAGGAGCTCTTTATATAGGTAGTCCAAACTGGCGAAAAAGTGCGTTTTAGGGTCAGTTTTTGCGGTTTTCAAAAAAAAAATTTCACTACTTCTAGTTGTCCTATAAGAATAAAAATTATATGTCAATAAAGTTTAAGTCTTTATCTGTCGTAATCTGGTATTTTTATATCTGTAACACATGTCTGAATGTGTTTTATATTTGTTTGAAAAGTATCAGTTACGTCAACAAATTTCACCGTTTTGCGTGTACCGATAGACCCCACACTGTTTTATTTGGTCGCGGCTTCGCGACGAAGCATCGTAGAAGCATAATCTTAATGTCATTTTAAAGATCGAATTCTAGGCTATCGTTTGATGTATAAATTGAAAAAATAACTTGTTTATTTCATTTAAAAAATACAGATTTTAAACTTTAAATGACGATATATACACGGAAACAAACTAATTCTGTTTCAATTTTTACACCGATGTAAAGTTCAGTTTTATAACTACTTTGTGTTGTAAATTCAAGTATTTCTGATTTACGGTCGCGAAGCCGTACCCCCAATAAACATATAACCCTCGAGTCGACTTTCAGCCCCGAGTAAGTTGCTCGCCGAACGGTTTTAAAGGTTGACGACCGATGATGCTAAACGGATTTTACCCTTGCTAGAGCCTTCAAACAAGTTGTAAGTATCATTTTTAAAGTTTCATTTCCATTTTAATAAATGAATTTTAAGTTTGAATGTCAGTTTGGTTTAATTAGTACACGTTATTAATGTAAATTTGAACGCTTCAAGTCCACGGTTTTAGCGTGTGAACTACGCTTGTACACAGGGTGTGTTTAGACATGAAGCTATTTAATTCAGGACATTCTAGGGACTTAAAATATGGATGCACTTAACTATTAGATGCTAGTGTTTACTAATTCTTTAAAATCTATTGACTGGGATCAATGATAGGGTCGTATTACTACAGTTTATCTGGACTATCACGTCAAAATTATGAATCGACAAATTCAAAATGGCCACCAGACTATCTTGGTTACTATGTGGACGAACTCAATTATTTACAGGGAACGAAGGTTAAATACTTATAAAATATTAATGAAACACAAAAGAAATGTATAATTAAAATAACTATACATTTTTATCAATTTATTTAAAACAAAAGACACTAAATTTTAAGGACTAATGTGATTATTTTTTTTTATTTTCTGTTGTGTGCTCTGATTCTGATTCCCCTGCTAAATAATGTGAAATGGTCTGCGCCAGTCTCCGTAATAAAATGTACCAGATCAATTTTTAGATGGTGGTGCAATTTATTAAGATTCTACATGGTGTGACTTAGTTTTAAATGTTATATTAGTTGTAAGTGTAAGTAGTACTAGTAGTATTTCTCATTATTTATTTATTTTATATGCATATAATAGTAACAATGAAGGACAGTTAAGTTGTCCTATAGGATGTTGAGAACCACAGTATGGCATCTTCATTATTGGATATCTCAACCAGTGTGGCACAAGCAACAAATATTTTAAATTTCATTCAGTAGAATTACTCTTAAAAATATATATAAAGTATAAATTACTTTTAACAAAAAGGTGTTTTCAGTCTTTTTCATATGTTTCCAGTTATAGTCATAGGACAAATAGTAGGCCTACACAATAGGCTGGTAGTAAATTTAATTCTATTTTATTAATCACTAAATCAATTGTTTATTCCATAGCTGGAGACATTTACAGTGGCCTATCCAGAACTTTCCTTACAAGGGAAGGGAAGAAGGCCAAGACCCCACTCCCCCCTACAATTCCCAAAACATATTACTTACTCTTGATGCTCCACAAGATGAAGGTTGAGGGAAACAAGACGTACAAAGATGTGTAGTTGTAGTTTTAAAAACTGTTCCCCCAAAGCAGTTATCAACCGTATAGGTTTGAAAAGAAACCAAAGCATGTGGCATCAACTGCTGCATCACTTGTAGGCATCACGTCTTTATTAAACTACATTACATTACATTTACTCTACTAAATTTTGATTCTGTTTCTCCTGCACTAGATAACTGTGGTATTTTTTAAAATAATATTTTAACTCATGTGATTTTTGAAAATAATTAACACATTTTTCCACGTTGATGTTACCAACACAATAGTTTTAGAGTTATTCCAAAGCAAAAAAAAAAAAATTGAATTTTTTTTTTTTATGAAAATAAAAGTGACCAAAACGCATTTTTGTCATTTTCAATTATTTTTTTACCTTAGAAAGACTCATTTTAGATGACTGAAAAAAATTGGGCATATATATTACAAACTTTGCAGCAACTTTACCAATTTCTACACTTCTATGTTATTTAGTTTAAAAAATATGGGTTCTCAAAATTGGCACTTTTTGAAAATCAGTTTTTTACCAAATTTTGCTTTTTTAAAAATCGCATAACTTTTTTATTTATTGAGATATTTTTATAAAATTTGTGGCATAGACCTTACAATTAAAAGTTCTTTCATGACATACTCACTCCAGAAGTCTGCAATCAATAGTTAATTTCAGTTTGGACTACCTACTTTATATAACAAAGCGGTGTCTACATTTTTTAAAGCATTACCTCTAACAGAAAAAAAAAATCAAGTAGAGATAATATTTTTAGACCCGTTAATTATTGTTTTAAAATATTGTTATAAAATAATGTATATATAGCATGTTTGCTAATTTGAGTATGAATATTTTGCAATGTTTAGTATAGAGATCATGGTGACTTTTTACCATATTCATAATGGAATGTAATGTTGAAATATTTTAATTGTGTAGCAGCGTTTCCTAGAAGATCCAAAAGATTTGCAGAGAGGCCGCTATAATCGATGTCTAATCTCTGGAGCTTTTTAAATTTCTGGATACAAAACAAATAAAAAGTTAATGAGTTGAAAATAACAGCTGAAATCGTCAACCTAAAGCTACTGCTAAGATTTGGCTAGAGAAAACTAATTAGCAAACAATAATTCTTTGTGACAGGTCGAGTTATGTGGTCAAAATGTGAAACTGTCAAGAACTAAGCTGACAATAACACAATTTATATATATATATATATATATATATATATATATATATATATATATATATATATATATATATATACTACAAACACTTGCTACGCCACGGTGAATCTTTATTTTAATGTACCAACTTAGGAGCAGAACAAAACTAAACACAAATGAAAACAAAAGCTAACAAAAACATAAAGAAACGCAAACACAAAAACCCCTCAAAAGGATTACGCAACACAAACACAAACACAAATTCAAACGCTAATGAAGTTTGAATGAAAAGTTCTGTTTTATTACTTTTAACTCTAAGCCCAGCTCCAACAAAAGCCCAAACCCAAACTAAATCCGAGCCCTTAAACTAACCCAATCCCTAATACTAACCCAAACCCAATCCCAACCTCAACCCAAACTTACTGCTAAAAAGATTCCAAAATCATCAACTGATGCGCCATTCATCCCATAATAGATTCTACTATAGGAACGTTCCAGACAAATGTGAATTATTCTTTCGCCTGCAGATTTTCCAAGCTCTTCCAAAAATGTCAATTGATGCTCTAATCTTATATTTGAGCCTTTCACTGAAAAAACCTGTTTAATGATCATAAGCAAAAATATAGGTCAGAGAAATGACAGTTTAAGCAATATAGGTAACACAAATGACAGCTCTAGCGACATAGGTGAGAGAAATGACAGGTCTAGCGATGTAGGTGAGAGAAATGACAGGTCTAGCGATGTAGGTGAGAGAAATGACAGGTCTAGCGATGTAGGTGAGAGAAATGACATGTCTAGCGTTGTAGGTGAGAGAAATGACGGGTCTAGCGACATAGGTGAGAGAAATGACAGGTCTAGCGATGTAGGTGAGAGAAATGACAGGTCTAGCGACATAGGTGAGAGAAATGACAGGTCTAGCGATGTAGGTGAGAGAAATGACATGTCTAGCGATATAGGTGAGAGAAATGACGGGTCTAGCGACATAGGTGAGAGAAATGACGGGTCTAGCGAAATAGGTGAGATAATGGAGGTGGGAGAATTAATCTTTCTGTGGTGGTCTGAATGAAAAGGTCATTGCTCTAGTCCTGTATACCAACACAAGTAAACGAAAGTTTGCAGTCATGCACGACAATGATCAAACACTTGCCTCAAGATTTGTCTGCAGGCTTAGAAATTCGATGAATTTTTTGGCGAATTTGTTCATGAACGTAGGATTTTTATCCACCAGGGTTAAGCCTTCAATTTTAAACGATCTTATTTGAGGTTTCTTCAGTTCTTTCAAGATATCCTTAATTGCCTTCAAGGTTCGTTCACTGCTGAACCACATCGGGTTTTTCTCGTAGCACTTTATTTTTACATTTCTAGCTGTTGCCGAAAACCGTTTGGCTTTTTTAATAGCTGTCTCTACTATTGCGCAAGCTTAACGAAAAAAAAAGGAAGGAGTGAATGAGTAAAAGTGCAAACGAAAGAACGAACAAACGAACAAACGTACGAACGAACGAACAAACGAACGAGCGGACGGGCGGACGGACGATCGGACGAACGAACGAACGTACGAACAAATCAAATAATAAACCAACGAACAAACGAACAAACCAAGGAACAAACCAACAAACGAACTAACGAAGTCTTATGATGGCATTAGAATTTTCGAAACTAAAGTTAAATATATCTCTAACCTAAATCTATTTCTTTTGTATCATCCAACACCACGGTCAGGTTATGCCAGAGAGGATCGTGTTGACGCAGCTCCGACCAGTGTTTGCACACCTAAACACAAACCAAAGCAATGTTAGTGTAACACATCATGGTTAACAGTCAAGGGGGATAAGTTATAAGTTATAATTTATTGGGTTGCGGCCCCTGTGGGACCGCAACTGTTGATGTATTTTATTCTCTTCTTTGAGCGATGTTCGTCTCCGTGTTCTATGTCATGTGACCTCTGGGACTCTGGGTAGTTGTACCACACGGATGGTGCCGTTGCCTATGTTAACTTAGTCATGTAGACCTAATGAAGGGCTACTGTCTACATAGTCGTTTATGGCTTTGATGTTAATGACTAGCCGGATACGGATATGCAAATAAAGCCATATCTAACAACAAAAGCGTCGTTTCGTTGTGTGTTATCTCTCAGAGTCAGCCCTTTTAAACACAACACCTCAGTGGGTAATATCATCCCTACTGAGGCAGAGTTACATCAGCCATACCCGCACACATCGAGATTAAGCCTTTTTTTTGATTATTTGAACTTTTTACTTTCTCGATTATACGAAATATAGAGAAAGTCTTGTAATCGTGCAAAAAAAAATAATTGAGATTTTTACAAATCTCGACGTTTTACACCTCTCTGATACGGAAAAACATAATTTTGCAATCTTGTCCGTATGTCTGTGTGTCTGTCTGTGTGTCTGTGTGTAAACACGATAACTTGAGTACCGTTACAGCTAGGCTGATAAAATTTCATATATAAGCATTTTATCAAAATCGTAGATCCGTATCAACTTTTGAGCGATTTCTGATAACCGGAAGTGGTACTTTTTCTACTTTGAATGTTTAAAAAGCCTGTAACTTGAGTACTATTTCAGATGGATAAATGAAATTTTAATTGTAAGTAAAAGATCGAATTCTCTACCTTCTTTAAAATTTTGAGTAATTTCTGTTAACCGGAAGTAGTAATTTACGCTATTTTCGATTTCTCAAAAAACGCATGTAAATTTAGAAAATACTAATAATATTGCGCACTATTATGCACATTTTGTTTTGGCGTTTGCTTGGTGCGCAATTCTTTTTTCTACGAGATTCTATTCTATTTTTAAAAGTTTAAGTAATTAAAAATCGTGTCTATATTCCGAGTTATATAAGAATATTCTAGAAAGTTTAGGGGAGATCACTCCCGGTTTATTTAAAAGGCTATACGATAGGTATGCCTCAACCAGAAGAGATATTAAGAATACAATAAATAATAAAGAATACATTAGTTGAGTGGTACAGTGGTACAGTAGCGTAGTAGAAAAGTAGAACAGTAGAACAGTACAATAATAGTACAGTAGTACAGTAGTACAGTAGTACAGTAGTACAGTAGTACAGTAGTACAGTAGTACAGAAGTACAGTAGTACAGTAGTACAGTAGTACAGTAGTACAGTAGTACAGTAGTACAGTAGTACAGTAGTACAGTAGTACAGTAGTACAGTAGTACAGTAGTACAGTAGTACAGTAGTACAGTAGTATATAGTAGTAAAGTAGTACGGTAGTATAGTAGTATAGTAGTAAAGTGGTACAGTAGTAATGTCGTACAGTAGTATAGTAGTACAGTAGTACAGTAGTATAAGACTGGTTACATGTAAAACTTCAACTCATTAGCCAGGAAGACTGGAAAGAAATCTAGATTCGTGTTTCACTCACATATAAACAAACATTGGGTAAAACCTTAGTTTTGCGTAAGGAATTATTTGGAAATTTTTGTTGAGTTTCGAAAACATAAGTATAGGTAAACCATGGTTTATATAACGATTGAAATGTAGATAAAGTCGATTGTAGTAAATTAATGTTTTAATTTTTAACTTTAAATTTTAATGGACATAAGGAAACTATTTTTAGATCTAAATATATAGCCTATATATAAATAATAAAGTAAATGTAGTAATATGCTTGATTTTTTTTTTACTTGCAGAGGATTTACGACAATTATTAAAGTTAGATCTAGATCTAGCTAGCTGCTAGGACTAGTAAAATGATTACGAAAATAGCAAAAATGCCTAGAACAATGTTTAGTAGCAAAAATATTTAGCAGAAACACTTTAAAATAATTAGCAATATAAAATGATTAGTAAAGCAGTATATAACATGCAATTAAAATCAATCTATTAAAATTTTAAACGTTCTGATTTAATAACAAAAGATGGCGCCAAATAAAGTAAATTAATGTGGATTCCGAAACTGTGTGATAGACTGCCATTATATTAGTGTTTTTTAAACAGCATTCCGGAATATAACCGTCGTTAAACAAAGGTTTACATGTGTGTGAGTAAAACACGATCCTACATCCTCTTCCGGCCTGCCAGGGTAATGGACGCGAGCGAGAAAGTATTCGAGATTCCCATTGATTAATTTAAAAATCATGCATGGCGTAGTTTCATTTAATATGGTTATAAAATCATGTCTGTCTGGTTTTTTTTCGGACTTTACTAAAGTTTGGATGTAATTGATGTTTTTAATATTGTCGGTAACCAAATAAAATAAAAAAAAAAAGCAAAAACAATTTGGTTTTCACGTGTAAACCTGCTATTCGATAGGCTGCCATAAATTTTATTGTACACATTGTAAGCTAAAAAGAGAAAAACTAGGTCATGGGGTTTAAATTTGCATTTTAATTTAAAAACTGCATCTAAAAACTTTTGTAAACAAATAATTATCGATCACGGAGTTCCTGTGCAGCCAATCAATATGTGTCTTACGAAAGTGAAACATCCTATTATAACTTGATGAAAATAAATAGAAATGTAGCCTTAAACTCAACAATTTATTTTCAAGTTTTCTGGATTTGCAACTTTTAAAGCATTTATTCTAAAAATATAAAATTTCTAAATTAATTTTAGGCTTAAGTTTTTATTTTTTATTTTTACGGTCTAAATCGAAAAAGCACGTTTTTATTCCATGTCAACAACATGATGGAAGGATTCTCGTCAACTCACTTGCCTCCATTAGTTGAACTGATCATGATCGGATACAAGAGAGAGGAGGGAGAGAGGGGAGGGAGAGAGAGGAGAGGGAGAGAAAGAGGGGAGGGAGAGAAAGAGGGGAGGTACAGAGAGGGGAGGGAGAGAAAGAGGGGAGGGAGAGAGGGAGGGGAGGGAGAGAGAAAGACTAAGAATAAAGATAGTTTTACGTAGATCTAGATCTAGTTAGGGTTTGAACTCCACCTGAACTGCTGCTACTCTGCTCTCCAAGGGTAAACATTGCAAGACTTTGACTAAACACAAATGTGGGAGCTGCTCCCACTGTGGATGAGCTTGAAGCACACAGCTCATTATGATTAAGTCTTTTTTTATCAATTAATTAATGATTCCACTGTGGATGAGCTTGAAGCTCACAGCTCATTGTGATTAAGTCTTTCTTTTATCAATTAATTAATGATTTCTTCAGGGTAAAATATTTCATACAACTATGTGTCCGGTAGTAAACATCTAGTTCTCCGTGTTTTGGTGGTGATAGCATTACGTTTCAAGTACTGCGCGACATTCTGCTAACTAGGATGGCGCTTTACGGGAATACCCGATTTCAATGCACACGAAGGTGCGTGTAACGTAATTTTGCGTGTAGCACGATGGTGCATGTAACACGTGTAACACGATGGTGTGTGTAACCTAATGGTGCATGTAACACGTGTAACACGATGGTGTGTGTAACCTAATGGTGCATGTAACACGTGTAACACGACGCTGCGTGTAACGTGTTATTGGAAGTGCGGCGAGATGCCAGAAAAAAATGTTTGTCAAAAAACGTTCAACTAAATGAAAATGTGACACGGGCTAAGTTGTCAGACCTTCCCGATGTAAGATTCTACGTTCATATTCTACGTCCTTGTGTTAATGTCCGTGTTTTTAAATGCATCTTTTTTACTTTCTCGTATATAGAGTATATAGGAAATATTGTAATCGTGCAAAAAAAAATAATTGAGATCTTCACAAATCTCGACGTTTTACACCTCCCTAGGTTGGAAGAAACATAGTTTTGCACGTTTGTCCGTATGTATGTGTGTGTGTGTGTATGTATGTGTGTGTGTGTCTGTGAACACGATAACTTGAGTACCGTTAGAGCTAATTTGATGAAAATTCATATATAAGTATTATATCTAATCTGTCTAATTTGTAGTTCTGTATCAACTTTTTAGTGATCAGAGGATATATATATATATATATATATATATATATATATATATATATATATATATATATATATATATACATCTTCAACCAAGCATGGTTAGTTTATTTCACTAGATTTCCCAACAACTTTAAAAATATATAAAATCTGTTTATAGTTCCATCGAATCGACATCAGACAGTTATTTCACACAAGCAAGTTTTCTTAACATCTGTTTTAAATTAAACAGTAATGATTCTACTCGATACCTAAAGATTCATTGAGCAGATGAAGTAGAGTTCATGTTTCTTAACCTCGGCATTTGAAGAAATGGTGTCGTCTGCACTATACCCTACAAACTTTACTTTCCCTAACGTGAGTCACATACCCATCAAAGCAAGGAGGACTATGTGACGTCCTACTGTCACAAGTCCGAACCTAGATCCGAACTCGAACCATCTAGACAAGGATCTGTTTATCGAAGCTTGAATCAACATCGAACTAGTTTCTGACCATGCTGTCTACCCTAACCCTAACCCTAAGTCCAACTAATAAATGTATTGATATCTTGAATAAAATTTCAAGGCAGCGATCATTAACTTTTAGTATTGCATGATAAAAACATTTTATTTTTTATTCTGACGTCTAGTAAAAACGTTCGTTTATTGGCAAGTCCCCCATTACAAAAAAGTTAATATCTTGAATAAATGTACAGGGCAGCGATCACTAACTTTTTGTATATTTAAATAAAAATATGTTCACAGGCAACAAACACTTGACCCATTTAGCAGTCAGACAAATTGAGATAATTTAAAGTAAACAGATGTTACACTCCTTACATGTATAAGGTCTTGGGTCGTGACTTCTAAGTAGGCCACCATGTGCTTTTTGTGATGATGAGTAGTAAAATAATATTCATTATTATATAATGTTTTTAATGGTGCTGAATGTGTCATTTTCAATGCCACCCAGGTCATGGGTCAGTGTGTTTTTATAAACTGGCTTTGCCACTCGAAAAAGGTAAGGAACATGAACATTTGAACTTTCATCTGTTAAAATAGAAGGCTATTTAATGTTGTGATTAGTTTAAATGTCACTATCTAATTGATCGTGGTTATTAGGTGCTGTTTAAAACGTTACGATCGGGTTTGTAAGTCTCTATCGGATTAGTGCCGCCTATTTGTTTCTTTGGTCTAGCTAGATCAATTTCAAAATACCACGAATACCAAAAAACATTTTTTTAAAATGATAATCGATTCAGATTAAGTATCTTAAGGCTAAGGCTATTAAGATTAGAATAACGTGTTCGAAAAAATTAAAACAAACTTTATGTTTCTTTGAAACAAAATCACAATTTAAGGTAAGTTATATTTTATTCAAGCTAGCATACATCTTGTAGTATATCTGTATTATAGTTTCGGAATTTAAACAACACAGGATTATAGGAAGTAACATTTCTGTTAATATATGTTTTTGTTTACAGATTTTATAAAAATATCCACATTTGGTTTTAAAAACTACTAGCTGGCATGTACGAGAACGAAATGTCGGTGACCTACTTACAAGCCCTATAAGATATTCACGACGCCTTCAGACTTATTGATTATGTTAATGTTGTTAAGAATAAATTCCTTGAATACATTTCTGATAAAAAATTATATAAAATGTCAGAATCGTTTTTTAAACTATCGTCTAGCAACATCTAAAGTCCTTTTGACACCTCTGCTGACACGCTACAAGGTTATTACATGTGGGCGGGGGTGGGGACGGCGTGGTCGGGTGGGTTAGTGCATGTGTTCGATCCTCAGACAGATGAAGCACGTCTAGCCGGGGGACAGAAACACATCTAGGAGAGAAAACTACAAAATCAAACAGCTGCTGCCTTGTAGTTTATTCTCGAATGGACAAATGCTTTGTAAGCAAGTCTAGAAAGAAAAAAAAGTCCTGAGGTGGGCGTCAACACAATATGTTGACACGTGACACATTGTTATATAAAAGGTAATTAACTCCAATATTAAAATTCAAAACGAGGAATACAAAAGACTCTAGTGTAGGGGCATGACCCTCATCAACTTTATTCTGCAAATTTTTTCTCTTTTAATGCTTTATCGTAACCATTCGTTGAGAAGTTTTTCACTAGCTTTACATAAAGGTAAAAGCGTGGTCGTCTAACTGATAGAGCATACGACTGCGAACCCAAAAGACTTGAGTTTGAAACGGTACGTAACTAACTTACTAATACGTAAACGATACATTTTTCGATTTTAATTCCATTTTAAAACGTGTATTGTATGACGCGCTGGAAAATATTCAACGTTGAGATTTGAGTTTTATTATTCTGGCTGTCTTTTAAGAGTGGGTAAAAATATAGCTGGTTCGTGTTTGTTTAACATTATTTAATGCATGCGACATGGACCAAAAGTACCGTCATACCAAGAGGCAGACAGACCATTCAGCTACAATAAAAGAAATATATATATATATATATATATATATATATATATATATATATATATATATATATATATATATATATATATATATATATATATATATATATATATATATATATTGCAAACTGTCTCCGGTCAACGATATTTCAATTATCCACAAGCGACATCTGCTGCCAATACTTTTGCATTGGTAATTTGAAACGAGCTTTTTTTTTATGCTAGTTTCCAAAAATTCAAACTGTTGTGGTGCAGTCGAGCTTGACACAATTTGGAATACATGCACACTTTTAAATGTTGACAGGTAGGTATGTGTTATTTCAACGTGTTAAACGCCACCAAAATATATATTAAAGTCAGAAAAAATGTATATTTAAAATCTTTTGTTTCTGAAACTATATTTTAATTATGATTTTTTTGTATAATTATTTTGCCTAATTACGTATTGCTAATATTTTTTGAAAAATGTGTTTTTAATTAATTAGATTAAGGACGTAATTCACCTAAATTCAGCCACATATGGCAAAATAAAAATTTAAAAAACCTGGATAAATGTTCTTACTGCTGAGTAAGAGGCTCCAGATGCAATTTATGTAACTGGGAGGTTTTAAAAATGATTGTTTCTCTATATGTTTCGATTTTTTTCCTATGTCTTCCACATATAGTATATTTTTCACTATTTAGCTTTTTTCTCAAAATGTTACTTTTTAACAAAATCGTACCAGTTAAGTCACAGTTCAATGAAAAACTTCTTGAGATATTTAGCAGAAATTTTGCAAAGATTTTAATAAACACTGCTTGTAACGATCAATTAAAACAATATCTATATTTTTGAAACCAAATTTTATAAAATAAAACGGTATGTGGTGGCGATTGAGCTAATTTCGAGCTATTTTACCCTAAAAATAAAAACTTTTTGGAAAATATTTTCAGAAAACCATAACTGTTTAGTAATTTTTTTTTGCATTTTTTCCAGATTCTATGTTAGTTACAAATTCCTTACCACTCGAAAAATTCCTAAAACATAATTTTCAATTTTGGGGTTTAACCTGCACTTAAACAGTGTTGAATCTTGAGCGATTTTAAATTTTGAATATGTTTTGTTTCATTAAAATTAGGTGGCCAGCGTAGTGGGACGGAATTACTGTCTTTGAACCATGTACGTTGATTTCCCTTATTTTGTTGTAACTTAGAAATTGTTTCTTGTTATTATGGTTATGAATTGGTCTTGAAAAAGGTATTTTCTCAAATGAGGAGTATAAAAATGAATTTAAAGCCATGAATCAGAACGGCGTTGGCAGGCAAAAGAGAATCATATTTTCCCGGTTTTATTCAAACATCATTGGGCAGGTGAAGTAGAGTTCTTTATTTTTAGAAACCTCGAATGATTTGGTTCACACTATAGCCTTGGTTTCCCTAACGTGATTTATGTACTCTTAGAGCTAGATGGAATCAGGTATTTGAACCCGGTTTCGAACAATAGCGCTCTAGCTAGGTTACGCCGTCCCTAGCTTAAGCATGTTAGTGTTTTTGTTTTGTTTACCAAACACATCTCTTAGAGAAGATTCAACAGTCAATTGATGCCTTGCAGATTGATTATATCTGGACATAAATTCGAAATAATATTATTTATAAATGATGTGCCAGTAATACTAACACAAAAGGGACGGCTTGGTCTAAGTTTCAAGAGCGCTAGACTGCTAATTCAAAGTCTCGTGTTCGAATCCGGGTTCAGGTAGAATTTACCTGAGCCCAACTAGCTCTGATGAGTACCTAACTAATGTTAGGAAGAGTAAAGGCGTCTGGGCAAAGTGCTGACCACAATTTCCCTTCATATGCGAGGTCAAGAATAAGAATCATTTGAACTTTACTTTATCTGGACAATAGTGGATTCTTTACGTCTTTTTATACTTTAAAGAAAAAAATTAATACTAACACAACGAGCTTAGTAAAAATTTGTTTTACCTTTACCAAGTAGTATGATTATTTCACCCAAGTCCAGCATGTCTAATGAAGTGGACCACTGTACCACTAAGTACTTAGACAATGAGCTGAATGCGCTAAAGCCTCTAGCAGTATGTAGCTCGTCAGCAGAAAGTACAGCCAAGAAAAAAGGTAAGGATGATAATAGGGCTGGTAAGTAGGTCACCAACCAGTTCTATGGCTCATGCAGGTTTTATTGAGCCGTAGAACTGGTTGGTGACCTACTTACCAGCTCTATTATACAGTAGCAACAGCTGAACAATCAGACAACATACTCGTAGCGTATTTTAAATTATACTTTAATCGCAAGGATGATAAGCATAGTACAGCTACTTAATATAATCACTCGTAGTGTATTTTAAATGATAATTTAATAGCAAGGTTAATAAGCATAATAAATACAGCTAATAAATCAGACAATTTACTTGTAGTGTATTTTGAAATGATAATTTAGCTTGTGCATGGTGAAAACAAACATGTATTTAATTAATTAAATAATATTATTTTCGTTTAATATTTTGTTTTTGTTAATGATGTTTTCATAAACTAATGAATTATAATTTACATTGCTGTTAGTTCAATTTCAACAATAAATATCGAACAATAATCTTGACACGATAACTTGGAACTAACCATCGTATCTGTTAACACATTTATAAATAACACATAAAGTAGCTGGAAAGTTGAAACGAAATTATTGCATTAGAAGTTGGTTGAATTTGAGTTACAAAATATTGCATAAACCTGTAAAGAACAGACAGAGTGAATTAAAATAAACTTGTATAAAATAAAATTTTAACCTAAATACTTCAATGTTCTGACATATTTTTTTTTATGGCCAGGTTCTGGCTGGTTTGTTTCGGCGTTTCTTGTTGTCAACACCACATTGGGAGCTGGGATTTTAAACTTTCCCATGGCGTATCATCAAGCTGGTGGAATCTTTACGGCAGTCATCGTACAAACAGTAAGGAGTTAAAGGTCATAATTTTAAGAAACAGTAAGGGGTTAATTATCATTGAATGTACAGACAAGAATGGGTTATGTGTCCTAGTTCTTACAGACAGTAAGGAGTTATGTGTCCTAGTTCTTACAGACAGTAAGGAGTTATGTGTCCTAGTTCTTACAGAGAGTAAGGAGTTATGGGTCCTAGATCTTACAGAGAGTAAGGAGTTATGGGTCCTAGATCTTCCGGACAGTAAGGAGTTATGGGTCCTAGATCTTAATGACAGTAAGGACTTATGTGTCCTAGATCTTACAGACAGTAAGGAATTATGGGTCCTAGATCTTACAGAGAGTAAGGAGTTATGGGTCCTAGATCTTAATGACAGTAAGGAGTTATGGGTCCTAGATCTTACTGACAGTATAGAGTTATGGGTCCTAGATCTTACTGACAGTATAGAGTTATGGGTCCTAGATCTTAATGACAGTAAGGAGTTATGTGTCCTAGTTTTACAGATAGTAATGAGTTGTGTCCTAGATCTTAATCTTACGGACAGTAAAGTGTTTAGGGGCTTAATAAAAAAAAAACAACTGTCTTTATGGTATCAAATCTTACACATAAAATTGAGTATGGTGTCCTAGAACGTAGAGATAGAAAGAAGTATAGGATCCTATATCGTACAGTTTACGAATCTAGATCTTACAGTCAATAATGGGGTCAGTAAGCAGTTTTTGGGTTTAGAGTCATTTATCTAACAGACAGTATAGTAATTAGGAACATATATTAAACAGATATGAAGTAGTTCAGAGTTCTAGTAAAGCCAGTTAATGGATTATGGTGCAAGATCACGCATATAGTTTAAACATATCTTACAAATTTTACATTTTGTGTAAACCTATATCAGATAGAAAATCATCTTTACTCGCAAAAAAAAAAGAGTTTAAATACTACTTACTTTTATCTAAAACCATTTTATTGCTATCTATTTACAGGTTTTGGTGTTTTTTGTTGTTGTAGCGATCTACATCATCTGTTACTGTTCTGACATCAAGGGAAGCAACACCTACCAAGACGTGGTTCTCTCCATCTGTGGCCCTAAAGCCCAGCTGGCTTGTGCAATCAGTATAGCCATCTCCAGTTTCTGCATTTGCATAACTTTTCTAATTATAATTAGTGATCAATGGGAAATAAGTGAGTCCATATTTTTGTAGCACATTTTATATTATACTAACTGTATAGGTAATATATATTGATGTTTTAAGTCAAATGTAAACTCAAACACGTGTGCGTTGAAATAAATTGGTTGTTTTTAAAACAAAAGAGCAATCATTATAGCTACGATTAAATCAGAAATACGAACTATTTACGTAATTTTAGACAAAATAAAGTACCCTTTACTTGACATTTCTCGAAATCACAAAAGTATTAGAATTTAAAAAAACAATCAGATTCAAAACACTGTATAAGTAACATCTTTATATTAAACCCTTGCGTAATTAACCCCATTTAATACATATTATACCTACACCTACACCTACACCTACACCTACACCTACACCTACACCTACACCTACTCTTACACCTACACCTACACCTACACCTACACCTACACCTACACCTACACCTACACCTACACCTACACCTACACCTACACCTACACCTACACCTACACCTACACCTACACCTACACCTACACCTACACCTACACCTACACCTACACCTACACCTACACCTACACCTACACCTACACCTACACCTACACCCACACCTACACCTACACCTACACCTACACCTACACCTACACCTACACCTACACCCACACCCACACCCACACCCACACCCACACCCACACCCACACCCACACCCACACCCACACCCACACCTACACCTACACCTACACCTACACCTACGCCTAAACCTACACATTGAAGTTGACCTAAACCTATACATTAACTATCCCATACGTTTTTCAGTTTTCCTGAATGTTTCATACAATCACTATTGTAACTCCAGTCCATTCTACATGTCAAGAGCTTTTATTATAACAGTCACATCTATAGCCTTCATACTTCCGTTATGTTTTCCTAAAAGAATTGACTTTTTGAGATATGCCAGGTACGTGTAGCATAATTTATTGCAATTATAGTTTACATTTTAAAGTTAACGGTGGTGTTTACATTTATTTATATTTATTAATACCATTCACCCTCATCATTTAGGACAGATGAAGTAGAGTTTATCTGTTTTAATGACTTCAGCAAGTGAGGGGATATTGTACTTCTCCAAGCCGTCAATATTTTCCTAAGATGAGTCAGGTACCTATTTGATCTGGGAGTACTACAAGACGTCTTAGAGACTCGTGTACGGGATCCGAAATTTGAGTTAGCTGTCTTGAGCTCTACTATTTGACTACACATTAATACATTTACATTTATTTAATTTAACGGAATGTTTTATATGGAACGTCGTGGTCAAGTAGATGTAGAGCGCACGATTACTCAGATGTAGGGAAATTTAGTTCGTTTCATTTTTTTAAATATGATCAAAGGCAAATTACCTCTTCACCCTTAACACATCATTAGTAGAAAATAGAAGTATACTTTAGAAATATTGAAATTAAAGTTGTGTCCCCACTTGCAGAAGAAAAATATTACATGTGATAAATCACTATAGTTGTTTTGATATCGATAAAGATCAATACTTTACTTTCTTCTCAGCATTATTGGCGTTATAGGTATCCTGTATGTAGTGGCACTTGTGACCGTCAAATATTTTCTACCTCATGATAATCAAGGAATTATTGCCACTCGGTAGGTTGATTTTATTGCAAACAAAAGTTTAAATTTTAAACACAAAAGTAATGTAAATTATTGGATTATTTATTTCTTTAAAAATGCGAAACCCATTAACCCACATATTTTAGATTCGCTATAAATAGCGGATAATATAAATAAAGCTAATGTTCCTTTTACTTTATGCACAAGACTTTTTAACTTTCAGACCAAAGTCATGGGTCGATGTATTTCTTGTCGTCCCAGAAATTTGTTTTTCTTATGAGGTGAGTGTATCCTACTTGTGTAATGTCAAGTTTCCATGAAACTGATTGTCCTTCCATGTATTTGTAAAATCTGAATTTACTATAACTTTATCTTGATTTGATCTAGTGTCATGTCTGTATCGTCCCCATTTACTCCTGTATGGCCAAGCGTAACATGAGAGAGTTCTCTAAAACAGTAACACTTGCCATGATATTGTGTATTATAACTTACACAGGCATAGCATCTCTTGGATATCTTCAGGTTAGTAGCCTACACATTATTGTTCTTTAGCATATATTTTTAAAATGACCAATAATATATTTATTATAATAATTTTTTTTTATAGCGACAGCTTTTAAATGCATTTTTAAAGACAAGCAATAAATTAAATATAAAATAAAGAGGTCGGCCCCGTACAGATGAGGCTCGATAACTGGGGCAATCAACCTATCTAGCAGACGAAACTTCCAAAATCAAACAACTGCTGGCTTGAAGTTTTTTCTTAGTTGGAAGTAAATCCAAACAGAAAAGCTGGCTGAAATCTAAGACAACGGCCTATATGGCGCATAACAGGTTGACTGGCAATACTTAATTATGTTGAAGGAAATCTCGTCAAACATTACAATGAAGAACAAGAAGAAAAAACCCAAAAGATAAATAGCTAATACAATGTATGGATTCCACGGATACTTGACTCAGGTAAAGGAAAGTAAAGGTGGCTGGACTTCTCATAATCCTAGATCATGAAATATGTGAACTCTACTTCACCATCCTTATGGACCGTTAGATCTGAAAGGGGAAGCTTTCTATACCTGCCATGATGTCCCCTTTACTATTGGTATAATTTCATTAGTTAATCTATGTAGTTTGTCACATGCATAAGATTAGTAGTCCCTTTTTTATTATTTTGTAAGAATTACTTAACATAGATGATAATCTAATTAAACTTATAGAAACCAATGAGCAACAATCCTAATCCCACTCAACAAAAGTATAGTAGAATAGTTCAAAATCACAGGTCTACTGCGGTCGGAAACTCAGATTTCCTCCACCATCATTACCATCTTCTTGATAATTATAATGAATGAATATTGCAAAGCAATGCGATAATAGAAGTAGAACGATATTTGAACAACAACACTCTAATAGCGTAAATTTGTAAAAAATTATATTATCGACAGTTTGGTGACTTAGTCACACATGACATACTGCTGTCGTTTAACCCAACAGCCGAGATTATGGTGGCTGTAGTTCTTGTTGCAGTGAAGACATACACCACATATCCTATATTTTGTTTTCTGGGAAAGTAAGTATGTGGTTTATGTTTCTGAAAGTTGGGACGCTATCAAAGAATGTGTAGGTCTAAGTTGTTTTAATGATAATCGAGAGCGATAATTTTGTGGATGTAAATATTGTGTTTTTTTTTTAGGGACCATAAAAAAGCATGAAGAAATAGTACAATAAATATTATAGAAATAAATCCAGCATTTAAAACTTCTTAACTGTAAAACTAAACACAAAAAGATACGTTAGCTTTTACCTCACTATAGAAATAATCTAAGAAAAGTTGGGAAATATAAATAATATTATTTTCTTTTTAATATAAAATAATTCACAATAAATTATAACTTCAACTGCAGATCTGTTTTGTTTTAAAGCTGGTATTTAATTAAAAGATAACTACTATAAATCTAGACAGACACTTCATAGTCTTAAATATTAAATTTTAAAGTCCTGTGTTATAAATGTAAGTCCAGAAGTCTTAGAGTAAAGTAATCGAGTCACTAACCTTACTCGATACACATAATATCTCAAGGTCCGCATTCGACACAGTGTGGGGAATGTTCTGGAAAATGACCCCAGAAGAAATTTTACACAGAGAAAAGACGAGACGCATAATAACCACATTGGTGTGGTTCACCTTGACCCTGCTACTGTCCATCTTCATTCCTAATATAGGCGTTGCCATAGAGATCATCGGTGCTTTTCTGGCAGTATTTATTTTCGTATTTCCAGGTAAGTAAATTAACGGAATTATTATTAATTTTAAAAAGTTCCATATTATTAAAAAAAAAGTGTAACGTTACAGTTTCTAGTTTATGCATATTTAAATAATTTGAAATCTCAAAACAGATATATTAATTGTACAGGATATATTTGTCTTTCTCTTAGGTTTATGTTTGTTGAAGACTATGCAGAATAGAATTGAAACAGGAGAGAAACAGCCCAAGACAGTTCACGTAATGAAGGGAATAGCCATCGCCTTTCTCATTGTTGGTGTGTTTATCTTTGGACTGACGTTGTCGCAATCTATAATGAAAGACATTCGTGGTGTCAAGCGTGACTCGTCTATATTCACGTGCAGATAGAGACAACGTTTTCATTACTGATACAACTTTGTTTTGTAATAACGAATTAAATTGGTCTACAGAACAAACATTTTTTTCTAATTATATATATATATATATATATATATATATATATATATATATATATATATATATATATATATATATATATATATATATATATATATACATATATATATATATGATTACATTTTATATTTATAGTTCATAAATACCTGGTGGCTGTTCATGAGTGTGTGTGTGCGTGTGAATTTATTTTCATCTATTTTAGTGTGTGTGTGTGTGTGTGTTTGCGTGTGTATGAGAATTTATTTTTTATCTATTTTTACTTGCCTCAGACATGTAACTTATAGATTCAGTCTACCTTGCCATGTTGTTCGTTTTAGTAATACAGCTTTAATCCCTTAAAGCAGGGGTCTCCAAACTTTTCAGTCCGAGGGCCGCATTAACTTTCAACTTTTAGTTCGGGGGCCAGTTTCTTCCAGGCATGTCTTTGATTTTTTTGGGCAAAGTTCCTCAGCCATCACCAACAAACGATTTTTCCTTGGACAAAAAGATCTCCGCGGGCCGGATGAGAGGACTTCGCGGGCCGCATCCGGCCCGCGGGCCGTAGTTTGGAACTCAATAATTTATTGTGATTTTATTATGGTTTTTATTTTAACTAATTAATTTTGGTTTGACCTAGATTCTAGATTTTAGATCTTTTCCTTCCTCCGACAGCTTATTTGTAGATCTTGAGAAATGTATTGTATACTCAAATTAGAAGAACTGTTGAAAATTGATAATAGTGTTGGAACCTAATAAAAATAGCAAACGGAAGTATCGTTTAAACTATAGCCGACAGACAATTTAGCTTTATAATGCGTTAAACTTTTGAATGAGCAACATGATCTTGCATGGAAGACGCCATAATTCTTGTAAAAAATGTATCATGTGACGTTACTATAAGTAAAGTCATTGTACTGAACTTTTATAATTAAAGTGGTGTATATATATTAATAAACTAATCAACGTCTGTAAATGAATTTGTAATTAACAGTTAGTAAAAAAGAGCATTTTTCTCTACATAAATAGGTATTTTACGGCTCTACACATAGTGCAGATTCTCTCCTGAAACAAAACAAACAAACAAACACAAATATACAAACTTGTAAATAAACTTGAGTTTTAGTAGTATATAGATAGATTTTTAGCGAATAGGTTTTAAGAAACTGGAGTCAGTAACCCATGTTTGACTCTATTACTAATGACAAATTATGCTTTACTAGACTGGATTTAATTTATTCCTTCTTCTTTTGAAATACTACGTTCAATTAGACAAAAAGAAATATGTTTATTATTTAAATTAGATCCCAGTGAATGGTTTTTGTTAATTATTTATATCATCAAGCAAATGTCTGATTAATTTCTGAACAATATTATATGTTTAACTAAACAAACGTAACGTCACTTTATAAACTTATTATTACATACAATACATATTTGTGCTCCCTATATTATTGATTCTTTATTTTATAAATGAAGTTCTTTCAAAAGGACCCGACTCTGCTCCCGCTATCTAGGACCTACTATAGAGTTATCAAAAACATCTTTACATCCTACATAATAGGACACACTTCCAAACGTGTAGTTACAACAGCAAGCTTACAAAACGTCAATGAAGATTAACTGCATCGTTTTATTTAAATAAGTGCACAGGTGTTGCATATATTTATTATATGTAAGCTAGTTTTGAATCTGGTAGTTGGCAAGGGCAGCTGATTTTTAAAAACTTAGTAGGCATTTACTACTTTCGTAAGTAACATTTTCTTTATATATATATATATATATATATATATATATATATATATATATATATATATATATATATATATATATATATATATATATATATATTATTATATATATATATATATATATATATATATATATATATATATATATATACATATATATATATATATATATATATATATATATATATATATATATATATATATATATATATATATATATATATATATATACATATATATATATATATATATATATATATATATATATATATATATATATATATATATATATATATATATTTAAACATTTAAACTATTCGTTACCGGCTAGTCTTTGCTCAAGCCGTTTAAGCAATATCTAACTTTAAATATTAGCTGAATCCAAATGTTTTTTTTTCATGTTTAAATATGTCAACATCAATGCACAAAACAACACCCAAAACACCTCTACTTTTAGTTGATTCTATACTTTACACATCACGTGCCATTCCTAGATAGCAAGGTGCGTTACACGAATATAATACGTATGCTAGTCAAATCAGTATACAGAAAACCACTTTGTATTTCATTTCCCGCTCTTTGTAAACAATAACACCTTTGGTTTTATTAAAATACTATAAATAAAATACTGGAATAGTATTATGTAAGCTTTTTACAAACACATAGCAACATATGGCAAAACCTAACATCAACGTAAAATAAACCGGGAGTGATCTCCCCTAAACTTTCTCGAATATTCTTTTATAAAATAACAGGGGATGGGAACTCGGGCTATAGACATGATTTTTAATCCATTTTAAATACTTAAAATAGAATAAAATCTCGTAGACAAATTAATTGCACACCAAGTGAACGCCAAATAAAAAAGCGCATAATAGTGCGCAATATTATTAGTACTTATTAAAAAATTTACATTAGTTTTTTGAGAAATCGGAAGTAGCGTAAAGTACTACTTCCAGTCAACGGAAATTACTCAAAATTTAACAGAAGGTAGAGAATTAGTTCTTTTACTTACATGTGAAATTTCATTTATCTATCTGAAATAGTACTCAAGTTATAGGCTTTTGAAAAATTCAAAGTAGGAAAAGTACCACTTCAGTTGATACGGATCTACGATTTTGATAAAATACTTATATATGAAATTTCATCAACCTAGCTGTAACGGTACTCAAGTTATCGTGTTTACACACTGACACACAGACACACACACACACACACGCACACACAGACATACGGAGAAGATTGCAAAATTATGTTTTTCCGTATCAGTGAGGTGTAAAACGTCGAGATCTGTAAAAATCTCGATTTTTTTTTTGCACGATTACAATACTTTCTCTATACTTCGTATATACGAGAAAGTAAAAAATGGAAAAGTAGCACGTCATAAAAGTTTTGGTCGAATTTGTTAATTAAATAAATAAGGGGAAGTTTAGTGTTTTCCTCGTACACAACATTTAGCAGTAAATTAGGATTGTTACTAATCACTGTATTTGTAGATTCTATAACTCATTATATCACACAATAACATGATTTGCAAGACCTAAACTTAACGTCTAGATCAATTTCATAGTGTATTTAACATGTTAGCTCATTACTAAATATAGGGTTTGTTTTACAATTAAATTAATCAAATAAACATATTTTAGTAGCTCTTATAAAAAGAAAAAAATGAATAATTATTCATGTTAATAAACAGAAAAGAAACACACTTTGTGTTTTCAACTATTTCTCTTTCCAATTATTTCAGTTAACATGATTAGTCCAATAAAGATGATTTTCTTTGCCGTTCTGTTGACTACTACAGGTAAAACTAATTAACCTATTTTTTAAAAAAATCATGTACTTTATGCTATTACCTTACACTTAAACACGTATTTATTAATATATAAAAAATACTAAACTTATTTATAAAACTACCGAAATCACACACATCAACGCTAATAAATGCTTTTATTTTCAGTTCTGCATACTGCTCATACAATTCAACCAAGTCTGAGGACCATAGCAGAAGAAATTGACAACAATTTGGTAAAGGTGACACTTCCCAGCTTGAGATTTGCTGCTACTTTGGACTATGAAATCAGAAAAAGAATAGCCGAAGAAGAAACGTTGCACGAATAATATTTTAAATAAATAATATTCGTATCCGGAATTTTTTTATAATCAATGATAAATGTTTATCAAAAAATATAATGTAGTGCTTAAATTATGAGTATAAATAAAAAAGCATGCTTACGATAAACTTTACAAGTGTTTGATATTGCATTTTCTTGTACATGTTCATTAAACATTAAAGTAAATAAAATATTACCGCGTCTTAATAGTTGTAGTATATTGTCTACCCTGTGTTCTAGTAGATATTCATAAAAACGATGCGATTTTTTTAGACAATTACCACTTATCTAACGCTATCTCGACAAAATAATTTTTTAAATCATGTTCATGAGAAAATTTTCAGTCAACATAGCAAATAAAAGTGAAATAAATAAAGTTCGGCTAAATTTTCTTTACATATCCTTATAACGTGAAATTTTTCGTCTTAATTAAACTTACGAATTATGTACGTGTTGCGTGGCATGAGCGCATTGATCTACCCTGTTAGGAATAAGTGCTGTAAAATGCGAGGTGACCTCCCCTGACCCTTTATTTTATTTTAGTTACAGCGTACTATTAAAACAAGTTAATAAAAAGTTTAGTGACAATTTAAGCGCAATTTCCTTATAAGTTATCTAAAAATAGATCTGTCGTAGCGTAAAGCACACATGGGGACAAAACACAAGACGTATAATGCTGGGGTGCGTTCAAGCTAGGAGAACGATTGGTTTGTAGGTGTTTATGTAATTTAAAAAAAAAAAATTGTGACCGAACGAAAGGATATTTTTGAAAACTTTCTTCGGCAATATTGTTCTAAATTATGGCAGAAATCGATTGGTAAATGTTTCAAGTCGCTAAGTGGTCTGGTTGCCGAGATATGGGCCAAAAACTGCATTTTTATGAGGTTTTTTGGCTTTTCCGGGAAATCCAGGAAGGAATTCCGGAAATTTTTTGGCCCACAATCATCTTCGGAACTTGCTTAACATATTTGCTTTGGAACTAGTCCTCGATATTGCTTCGTTGAGGAGGAGATACGACTTAAAGCTGCGGACACACATCCACACATCCACACATCCATCCATCCATCCATCCAGAAATGACGCATTATTA